CACACACCCACACACACACACACACACACACACACACACACACCCTCTCTGGGCAGTTGCCGGCCAGCTAAATTAGGACCCCACCCGGAGCTCCTCCCACCAGACCAGCGCTGACTACAACCTCACCAGCGAGGCACATCGTGAGCAGTGAGTGAGGGCAAGGGGGGGGGGTCCCTATTAAGAAGCTATTAATATTAGCAGGGGAGAATTGCCAATACACTGCCAACTATATAGTTACAGTGTGTACTCTATATGTAGTACATCTCAGAGTACACACTGCTAATGCACTGCCGACAATAGATTTACAATTCTCCACTGCTAATATGAATGGATTAAATGATCCATAGTACATATTAGTACATAACGTAGGTTTGTACATACGGATCATTTAACCCATTCATGTTAGCAGGGGAGAATTGTAAATCCATTGCTGCAGACACCATCCCAAAACATGACATGCAGTTGTCACTGGAGACCACTGTGACTGAGCTGCTTCATCTTCCACAACACACCTCACCACAAATACATACACTGGCTCTTTCCTTTCTCCTCTCAGCATCTGAACAATCTGGTCCCGGGTTTCAACATCGTCATAACACACCGTGTGTTTCCCCAAGCTTTCTGCACTCTTTACAATAGACGCATTCCTGGAACATAACACAACAATCATGTTATTGTATACACAATACAGTAGTTCCTGGCCTGGTTACACATTAAGATCACATGAGAGTCTTCTTCCATGCCAGTGAGCTGATGATTGCTGCACTGCGTCCTAGGGAGACACCACCATCATGTTTGAAAGGTGGTACTCTGATCCAACAGGGTAGCATGCAGAAAAACTCTGATGTGGTGCTAGCTTATCCCAGCAAACATTTGCATATGCCTCCTCTGTACCTCAGGATGCTCCAGTGAATATCAAAGTAGATCTGAGTGGATTCAGATAGCTCCTCAATCATGGCCTCTCGGCTCGACGGGCTAATGGTCCACAGGAGGCTGGCATTGCTCTTTATTTTGGCAGTAACAATGTCCTCCGGCATGTAATTAACTATAAACTGCATGGCAGACTGGGAGCAAAAGAGATCAAAGATTATGTATCAGGTAAATTGATCTCACAAAACAACACCAAAATGTGAAAGGGCCAAGATCACCCTGACCTTTACATATGCTTTAACTTGCCAGCATGTTGAGCAGAGGGAAAAAACAAAACCTTATGTACATATCTACAATACATGCACATTGTCCCATGTTTTATCCTTTTAAAGGCTCTGCAAGTAGATACAAAATACCTCAGTCAGAATTGCAATCAGCTCTTCAAGAAGTCTCATGAAAAAAGATTTTGTTCTTAATGTAAAACCCTTTTCTTGAAGGCCATTGAGGGGACACAGCTCTGAAATTCTGAGACAGAGGGTTATGCTTCTGACTTCAGGGGGAAAAAAATGGACACTTGGCAAAAAATGAAAGCTCGTCACTTTCACAGTGACAGTCTTATGAGACCACTTTTGACGAAAAGAAAGTACAGTCTGAAAACAACCTCATCCTTTTGTAGAATGAATGTGGTTCTCTACAAGTCAAGGCAGACCGGTCCGAGAATCGGCTAGCAGAAATAATGGCTACAAGGAAAGTAACCTTTTTCTTGCCATAAATGGTAAAGAAATATATCATAAATAGGCGCAAACATAAAACTTCAGACCAACTTCAGATCCCTAGGATGTAATAGATTGAACAGGAGGAGCCACATGCACAACCCCCAAATAAAGGTGCAAATGAAAGAATTAGTAGCCAGAGGTTGTTGGGAAAAAGAACAGATGAGGCAAATACTTGACCCTTTATGGTACAGAGAGACAAAATTGTGGTCCACCTCCAACTGAAGGAGAGAAAGAACCCGAACCATGGAAAAATCATGCAGGGAGAACCCACACCATAAAAAAAATAACCTTCCACCCATGATAGTGGATTTAACATAAAGAAGATTTACTAGCCTTAAACAAAATGGGACCAACAGAGTCAACCACACCCTTGTCCTGAACACATTAGGGTTTCAACATCCAGGCCATCAAAAGGCAGCGACCAAGAAGTAGGGCCACAGTGGATCTACACTCTGCGAGGCCAGTCTGAGTCATGAGAATGGTTTCCCACAATGTTGGTTGGAGTATGCAATGTGTCGTAGCAGTATATGACAGCTTGCGGGACATTGATAGGAACTTTGCAGGAAGGATCCACAACACGGTGACTGGGAAGGCCTGCGCTCTTTAAATTACAAGATGGCCATTGGAACTCCAGACTACCACAGAACAAATCATCAGTCGTCAGACTAGAAGCGACCCGTTTCCTGACAACTAGAGAAACTTCCAGGAATTAACTTATCTGGCTTGAATCTCTCAGTATTGTCGGCTAGCTAGAGAAACTTCCAGGATGCAATAATATCCGGCATGAATCAACTAGCAGCTCTTAAAAGTAGAATCTCAATGAAGAAACAAAACAAACCAAATTATAGTTAAAAAAAAGCGGAAGAGGAGACATCCATTCTCCTGAGGACATGAAGCGACAGAGGCAGGTGTGAGAGAGATGGGAGGGGTTATTGCCTTACGGAAACAGGCTTTCATTTTTTTGTCTAATGTCCATTTCTCATGAAGGCAGCAGCATAACCCTACGTCTCGGCATTCTTCACAGTTGTGTCTCTCAATAGACTATAGAGAAGTTTTATTTGATCGGTTGGGACCAAGTGCATGTGGCACTTAGCCCTGATCAAATCCACCCTGCTGATGCTAAGCAGTATGGTCAGACAGTATCTACCCACTAATGCCTAACCATGCGGCTAGCAAGGAGATGGAATTTTCAGTGACAGCGCTAGTCTCTGACAGCATGAGCCACTCTGGAGACCAGCACTGGATTCTACATATTTTAGAATAAACTCCTATATGTTCCAGCATCATACCCGCACATGTACTCACAGGATGTAAGGCGTAACTGTATGTCAGCTGATCATATGCTCCCTGGGAGAAGGGGACCAGGTTGTGCTGCTGTGCACTCATAGTAAACAGTGGCTGAAGAATACAAAAGAGAAAATAAAACAGCATTTTTATTTCCTTAAAATCAATCATTCTTGGAAAGTAACATTGCTAACAATGACAATCACTGGATAGACTGAAGAGGAAGTGAACCATTTCCAAAAAATCAGCGTGCCTGATTCAATGTCTGCACCCATACAAAAATATCCCATCACAATGGTGATTGGGGAGGTCTTAAAGAAGGGCAAATGGAATAGAAGCAGATTCATTGATGATACAATACCAGTACTTGACATTCAGTACATCCTTACCTCATAACCACTGATGCTAATCTGAATGGAGACATCCAGAGGCTGATTGGTCACCCCGGCCACAGATTTCACCAGTGACATAAACAGGAGTGGGAACCAAACAATACAGATCAGAGCAAAAATAATAACTCCTCCCATTCCATACTTGACAATTTTCTTTTTCTTCTGTCCTGGAGGCTCTGGGTATTTCTGCAAAGTTCACAAACAAACAAACAAACAATAAACTTGATGCAAGCAGGCCATTGCCCTGCCACTATGGGACCTAGTGTGTCGGGTGGGGAGGTGCTCAGCCCTGTGTAGATTTGTGTACTTAACATCTATTTATTTGGGAATTCCCATGTCACTTAATGGCAAGTACAAAAACCCTAAATTCTCAAATCACCCACTGAGAAAGCAGAATTTCAGAAACAGTCAGGACATCCAAAAGTATTTCCACTGAGGGGCGAGAAACGGTCACTGACAGATATAAGATGGAACCATGTGCAACACAGGAAAACTAGGACAGGGGAATTTGTTAATGACCAAGGGGGAAGTCACTGAGGATCAACCTAATGCTCAGACCAAGATAGAATCACCGCCATAGGGGAATGACTACACTCGAGTACACCGAGGCTGCTCTAGCAACAGCTGTGACCCAAAGCAACCACCGAGTGGAGTAACATAACTACCCGAAAGGGGAGAACTGACCAACAACAACAAAAAAAGGAGAATTGTGCCAATGAGGCACCATACACAAGACCCCATCTGTATGTGCAGGACAGGAGCAAAAAATGGAGACATGCTGGGTATTTGAGTGATTATACTGGAGCTGGCTTACAACCTCTTTGCCAGCGTCCAAGCCTTCTTAAGGTGGGTAGCACAATCCAAATATATCTAAATTCTTGTGTTCTTCAATTGATGTTGGAGAAACGTCTTAGAAAGGAACAAAAAGGACTTCTGGCTATATACCATTTTATATGGCAGGCCTTCAAGTGTCCTAATCCACTTGGCTCATAAATGAAGCTTGTATAGAGAGGAAAGCACAGTTGTCATTGATTAAGATTGATAGAAATAGGTCATCAAAGAGGATCAGCATGAAAGTCACTGACCTGGAACAAGCATGCATGCAGGTGAAGCTAGAACTCCTGATCTACATACTTGGGGGTGGTTTTAATGTTACAGTGACAGTCTGGCAGTTTTAACACTTAGCAATGTCAACCTTGAGATGTCTCTCTACACAATCTTCATTCAAAACATTTCATGAAGATAGCAGACGCTACACAGGACTGTTCCAGCCTACTTGACCTCATCAACGAAAGTACAGTCAGTATGGCGTGTGACATGTCGTTCATGTAAAAGGTAACAATAGATGAGATGTGTATGGGTCACAAATGTCTCCTCAACACCAGTAATTACCTCCAACTCCACCCCCCACCTCCTCCCAAGATCTGTACCTTCTCAGATTCCCTCCAGCACTTCATAATGAAGATATTGGCATAGAGATCCTCCACACAGATCCAGCTGGACAGGCTGAGGGTCGTGTCAGTCCATATCCAATCCATCACAGCCCTCATCTCAGTCAGGAAGGGGACCATTCGGAAACTGTATGGCAAACAATAGTATGTGGTGTTGAAAAACAACCAAATTTTCTAAAAATAAAACAGCTATGTTATTTCTCAGTGTTACAGTGGTCCTTGTGACTTGACAATGTACGGAAAGTACTTGCTGCTAATCTGCTCATCAAATATTTACTTTCATGGCTCTAGTTAAAGCTAAAAGTGTACGTTCCGTGTAACGATGAAAGATGTACATCCCCTGCATTTGTCTTTATAAAATACATGTGAGGAAAGAAATACTTGGCCTGCCTTTGCTGACCTTCTATGAAAATACTAGTTGAGAGGCTGTTCTGTTGATTAAGTAAGTGGCTTTTATGTAATAGGTTCTATTCAGAAAAACAGGTAGGATAGGTACACACCGTTTCCTATCGCATGGAAATGGGGGCTTTGAAACCAACGTGCCAGACCAAGCAATAAAAACAACTTATTTATCACAGTTTAAATTTTTATTACAAATTCATTAAAAAGATACAATAAAACATTTGATAAAACCACTGGTTATTTATGGTTGTCTTTACAGCCAGTTGCAAGGTTGTTTCACTATCAAAAACCTGGTCACATTAATGATGTCCTCCTGAGGAAGCACTTTGGGCAAAACACATGGAGGACCCTTAAAAAGGAGAACTATGGGGTTAAGGCTTTTCCCCATAGTTCTCCTTAGGGTAACGGGAGGACACAAACTAGCGTCCTCCCGTCACCCTAAGCTCCCCCATTGATCACTATGTTTCTACAATATGTTCTATTCAATCAGTCTTCTGCTCCTGGTACCAGACAGCATGGTCAGATCCTGCTCTTCTTTTAAACCACCCTACAGATTATCAAAACAGCCCTTTCTAGGACCCCTTCCTGCCTGTGATTAGACAATGAAGCAGCAACACACTGTTGGGAACATCGCTAGTGAAGACTGCTGTATACAGGGGATTATGGAAAGCTTATATAGAGACATACGCATGTACTTTTGCCAGCTGCATGAAAAAACATATTTTAATAATGAATTTTGAATAGGTCAGTTGATGAAATGGTGGCGGTTTTATTGCTGCCTGTTTCAGTCAGAAAGAAAGAGAAGGGGGATCTGATTTAATGTTTTGAGTAACAAGATCTTTCTATATTAAGAGCAATCAGTCTCCTTGGAATTCCACTGACATTAGATCTGACACCTTGAAGCTACATACATTCAAATGCCCTGCAGAGCATAACGTCTATTTGATCAAACATTAATATTGGGGTAGATAGATTAGAAAGTAGAGATGTTCTCACCCCTGGAAGAGGAAGAGGTTGATGCAGTTGTAACTCTTTGTCAGAAAGTTTCCCAGGACTCGGTTAGGATAGCCGCACTTGATTTGATATGCAGACAGACCAAAATACAAACACTTGACAAAGTACCACAGCTGGGCTACATGATTTGTGTTAAATCTCCTGCAAAAAAACACAAGTGATGGGGAAGAAGGATTGGACACAGGTAGTACAAAATATTATAACAGGTAATGACAAATGATATGATGTGATTAATAATACAATAGCATTAAGGACTTCATCATCATCATCATCCATTAATAGCCATAAAGCGGACCTGTTTGACAATAGAAGGGTGAGAATGTATTGTGTCACCGTACCTTTCTGTGACACCAGGTAGGATAAAGAACATCCAGAAGTGAATCCCAAACACCAGGACAACCTGGAACACACACTTGCCGAACATTGTTTTGCGCAGGTAGATGGCTCTGTCAACAATCATGGTGCCGAATTGTAAGAGAAGCATCACAAGGAAGGCTTCAGGTACCTGGTCCTCCGACAGGGACTCCGTGATATCTGCTGCAGCCGAGTGTTTCTGTAAATAACGACAGGCCATCAGTAAAATCACCGCAAACATAGGATGGGGAGCCACACCACTCCATTCAAGCTGGGATTTAAGGAGGGGCTCCAACTGTTTTTCAGTGAGATCTCAAAAGATGAGCACATCTTCAACCAGTCTAGAGGTATCCTTGTTAATATGGAGCAGTGATGCATCTACGGTAGAAACAGATTCCCAGTCAACAGATTCTCTCTCAGAAGTGGAAAAGTTCTGCCACACTTTCAGGTGCCCTTTAGGGCGTTTCTATTCTGCATATCGGAATGACTCAAATACCAGGTCCAGCGGGAAGGTCTCTCTGCAGCTTCAGAAGCTCTGAAAGACCCCAAGGCCTGGAATAGCAGGTTGATCAGCCAAATGCAAACTAGTACGCACTTAGATTTACAGGGTTTTTTCAAACCTTATTAATTGAGTCATCAGCAAAAGACTGTGGTGCTCTCAGAAACAGACTGATGGAACTCTGCAGGGGATGGAGATGGGACGGGCTTAGACCCTCTGTGGGCAACATGCTCCTATAGCTAAGTAAAAACAGTTGTGAAGTCCAGAGTGAACATGGAGGTCCCTGTGGACATGGAGGAGGCCATAGCCACACCTGACAACACTGAGAAAGACACAAATGGTGACAACCCTATAACAATAAAGGGTCTCAGGTTTTGGATTATACATATGGGGCTGTGTAAGGGCTTTGTACTCAAAAGAACTTCATTTCCAAATAACGCAGTACACAAAAGTCCAGAAAGTGTCACAATGCAGAGCCCAGTGCCTGAAAGCCACATTCCAGGCTAGCCTCGCACGTCCATCCCAGTGGGGTCTGGGTACAGCTTTAAAGCCGATGCTGAGGAAACGCCAATCTGGATATAGAGGAAAAGCTCAAACAGAGGACTAGCAAAGAATATGGACTGAAGTCAATGAGGAAAAAACTTCTGTGAAGAAAAGAAGTCAAGCACAAAAAAATAAACTGTTGTTCAACAGAAATGAAGAAAAGGCATCCAACCTCCTAGGGCACTACGCACTAAGACATGATGGGGGAGAAGGGATCCGACGGGGACAGGCTTACAAATTCATTCCGTCAGGGTACCAGCCTCCTGAAGGTGGCAGTATAAGCCAACTGTATGTCAATTCCCGTGTCCCTCAATTGACAATGGGGAAATTATAATGGTTTTCCTTCCTAAAAGAAGTGTCTTTGTTATTTTAGGCTGTTGGTGAAACATTTGCTCTCAGTAACTTTTCCATTCTTGGTCAGTTAAAAATGTATAAGGGGTTGGCAACCCTAATTACAAGTCCTTTTGGCAGGTAAAACATTCCCCATGTATTTTCAACTATCTATTTAGCTGATTGGAATTCTGATTCAATGCCTATTGGAGGTATGGGAATCTCCAACATACATGCTTTTTATAGTACAGGGAGACCACATGGGTTTTTAACAGAAATAAAACAAAACAGACCAGGTGGACTAACAGCAGAGCTCCTTTTATAAAACTGTGTTCATCTATGCAATTAATTTTGCTTAAACATCTTAACAGGAACTCGAGTTTTATTTATTGATACGGTAATAACCATTAATGCACGAGGAGAGGGTGCTGTCTCCTTTTGTGTTTTCTTATGAGGAACTATTAGAAGCCTTCTGTATCAAAATGTCAACTCGAAAAATATGTTGTTGCATTTCTTGAGACACTTTGATGAAAAAAGGGCAGTCAATGTCCAGAGCTTGAGCAGAACATACTTACCCCAAATGCCCAGTACCCGAAGATAACAATAATGAAATTGATCACATCCACCAGGAACATGATGGCATAGACATCACAAACCGGGCTGTACTCTGGGTGTATGATATCATAGAAGAACTGTCTGATCGGCAGGTAGATTTGCAGCGCTCTGTGTCAAAGAAAAGAGAAACCGGTTCATATTAGGCTACATGTATGAACGTTTCTGTAAATAAAAAGAAGAAGCTTCTGCCCACAAAAAATTAATTCCCACCCTGGTCTTTGCAGTGCGTGCTAGGAATGTGTTGGGGTCACTTAGAAATTAGACGTGTACATAATCCAAAAATAAAGATGACTTTTCACTTTTACAAAGACATAATTAAGGGAAATAAAAGTTTTTTATATTTACTAACATACCACTAAAAGCAATCTAGAGAGGGCTTGTCTAAATGTAGAGCTAACATTTAAAGTTCCTTCGAGCCTTCATTATTACTACAATGCAGTTAGGCTTCATAGACAGCAAAAAAATAAATAAAGTTCAGCATATGTATTACTAAGTGCTGTATGCAAGGGTTACAAGCCCTGTATTAAGCAGCACATAGGAGAGGCAGACTGCTGCTCATACACTCAATAATACAAAATCACCTGCACTCCATACAGCGTATAGACCTTGAAGTGACAACACGAATGGCGCCGTGTCAGATACAGTCCATAATAGAAGTCACCAGTACTCGATGATATCTGCAGGAAGTAAGTGCTTTACTTCTTGCACATATCATTGAGTGCTGGTGACTTCTTCTATGCGCTGCTCAAACACAGCACAGGGGTCTGACCCACCACCACCACCACCACCACTCATACCCCCATACACTGCTCAAATCAATAGCGCTATCCTTTTTCTGTTAATATAAATGCTTGAATGTACCATAGTATGAGTTTGTGCAGATTTTTTTTTAAATATTAGAAATTTGATTAAAAAACATTTTGAACAACACATAGAACTTAACAATAAAAAAACAGCGCTCTCCAGTATAACAAAGCATAATGCATGGCACATGTGAAGGAGTCCGGCATGTGATGATAAATAATAATTATGATGATAAACTACAACAGAAACCGTGGTGTTCCTCGCAAAAGGCACAAAGGCAACACATAGTATGACACAATAGATGGAGTTTACCCAATGTGTCGATTGGTAGGAATAGGTCCCCAAAAAGAAAACTAGCAGACACAGAACCCATACCACGGACTGATCTACAGCTACGCCTAGCATCTCTCCAGGGCTAAGGATTAAGTGCGTCCACCATTGGGCCAAAATAAATACTAGAGAATAACCAGTGAAGACAAGGTGGTAGAAAGGATGAGGAGAATAAGAAAGAAAGGAGGGGGGGGAATGTTGTGCAGATTTAAACTTCCAAATTATTAATTTAAGGTGAAAAATGATTTAACCCATTACCGGTCCAGTTGCACTTTATAAAGACTTTGATCTTGCCTTGTTAAAGATGCTACCCTTCTTCTCTTCATCATTGTGTATTATTACGGTTTAATATTGGGTGCTGTGACTATGCATGTGAGACAACCAAGTGTAATACACATGTTTCTATTATGATGCTGCCAATTACAATGTAATATTTGAAGTGCCAAGAAGGTAAGCACTAAGGTCTTACCCTGCCTCTCATTTACTGCCTTGTACATCCCTGTCCAATTTTCTACCACCAACCCTATATAAACTGCCATAGGAACAACTACATCTTCTTTCATGGCACCAACAAAGTATTATTAACAGCTGCAACATACATTTTTACTGTCAGCTTTTTCAGTTTGATCCACTCTTGCTTCAGTCTCTCCTTCACTGACAGGCGCTTTTTTTTAGGGTCCCGTTTGAAACAATTCCATCTGCTTTTGGATTCCTTCTTTTGGGGTGTACCTGGTAGAAGAACAAAATGACGCAGCTAAGTTACCTTTTTTAAATCATGCAAAGGTTCCTAGGGAATTAGAGGACTTAGCAGTGAGAAGTTGTGTGCTGGCGACGTACACTGTACGTCGTCAGTCACGAAGGGGTTAAAGGAAACCGGTCATGAGAAAAACATTGAGCCCACCATCGCTGCCCTCTCTGAAAATGCTAGCTGCCTGGTTATTATTATTCTGACCCTCTCACTTCAGTACCTAGTATTGCAGTTAAGGCCCTTCAAAATTCCTCCTAGAGTCCTAATCTGCGTATGGGATCTGAGCAGTGAATCATTCAGTACTCAAATCAAGTGAACTGGGATTTTGAGGAGATCGGTAATGGAAACCCCTATATTTCCCTCATGAGAGGTTTATTTTACGGCGATGCCCAATGGGAGGTTTCAACAGGAGATATTCTAAGTATGTCTAGCTAGAAGTACTAGACGTGTTTAGAATATCAGAAGTACTTTATTTCCAGTAGGTAAGGGGCTACCCAGTGACCTTCACTTCGAGAATAATGATAGAAACTGATGTTTACAAAAAACAAATAGGTGGTAAATACTCAAAGTCTGAGGCTCGAATCTAGTCTTTACTGTACCTTTTTACTGTTCATTAATCTCTACACCTAAGACACTCAGATAAAACCTAGTTAGTGCTACGTGTTATACAGATACAGCATGAAGTGGGACAACATTTCAGCATTTATAGGCCAGCAATATGCTGTCATGATACAATGACCATGTTTAAATGATTAAACAGCAAGGCATGTCAAAGAGAAAAGATATCCAGCATTAATGCTACTTTGTAAAATCAACATAAAGCCCTCTATTTCTGACTGTAGGATTTCTTATTTTCTGAAAATGCTAGCTTTTTACACTCCATTCAAAATAAAAAAATGGCTTTTCAGACACTTCACTGTACTAAAATAGTATTTTGAACAAGTTAATTATATTTGTCTTCCGTTCATTGAAGGGCACAGCTGGATCCATAGGATCTTGACCAATGGGTTATAGCGCCATTTGCGCAGGACACCCAGGGGTGACCCTGCTGGTGGCCAAACACCCCCCCCCCCCTACAATCATTTTTTTGCCCAGCATCTAGGAGTTAGTACCTAGAGTTGTTTTGTCCTGGTTTTTTTAAAGCTTAGAATTGTCTCTCATGCTTGGATTCGTTTTTGTTTTAATTGATCTTAGCAGTGCTGGAAGTGGCCAATGTCCCTGCTCTGTCCGCTGTTCCAACTGGCAGACAGATTACCTGAGCCGTCAAGGCCTGGATCAAGGGCAGTGGGCTCTTCATCTGGATGTATTTCATCAGATCTGCCTCTGGTGGGGACTTTCTGATTTATGCCTTTCCTCTCCTGAAGCTTTTGCCTCGGTCGCTGCAGAGTATAGAACTGGAAGTAATCCCGGTGATTCTGGTGGCTCCCGACTGTCCGCATCAAGCCTGGAATGCAGATGTGTTTCATCTGCACGCAGATGCTCCCTGGTGTCTTCTGTTGCCTCTGCATCTACTTTCCCAGGGTCCAATATTTCATCCTACTACTTTACAGTTGCTGACTTGGTTCTTGAAAGCCAGGTGTTTAGGGACAGAGGCCTTTCCTCCAGGGGGATTTCCACAATGCTCTTAGTTGATTTATTACCGCACCGGGAAGGCCTGCTTTGCTTGGTGCAAGTCTCATGCCCATCATTCTCCTCAGCTTTCTATTGCCAGGATATTGGCAAATCTTCAAACAGGGGTGAATCGGCAGCTCTTTTTCAGCATCCTCTGGCCACGCATTCACTGGTTTGCATCTTTATCCAGGGGGTTAAATCGGGTGAAACCACTCTGTGGGATCTGAATTTGGTTCTTTTGGCCTTACAGAAGCCCCGTTTGAAAATATTCAAGCTATTTCTTGGTTGTCATGGTCTAAAAAGATTGCATTTTTTTTAGCGATCACTTCGGCTCGATGGGTGTCTGAGTTGGCAGCGTTGTCCTGTGAGCAGCCCGTTTTAATCCTGCATGGGGACAAGATTGTTCTTCATACCCGTCAATCTTTTTGGCATGAGGTTGCATCTTCTTTTCACCTGAATTAAGACATTGTTAAGCCTTATCTGTGTTTTAGGCCTTCTCAGCTGAAGAAAGTGGCCCTTGGATATGGTCAGAGCTATTTGAGTCTATCTGCACGCCACAGCATCTATTTGAAAGACTGATTCTTTGTTCATTGTCCCGGATAGTCCCAGGAAGGGACAGCGTGAGTGTCTCCTTTGGATTTGGGTTCTGTTTAACTCTGGTTGACTCTACTAATCACTGCTTTGGGATGTCCCATTGGTCAAGATTCTATGGATCCAGAGGAGTCCTTCAATGAACAGAAGAGGAAAAAGGGATTTTTATACTCAGCGTAAAAACCTTTTCTCTGCATTCACTGAAGGACACAGCACCCACCCTCATGTTGGTTTACTGGTTGTTTTTAACTGCTTGCTAATGACGGAGTTGATTGTTGCAGTCAGGGGGTATGGCTGCCAATGGGGGCCCTAAGCTGTCATGTTTCTCTTTTTGCCTGGAGTCGTACTGCTGCAGGTGGCAATATAGCTCACTGGTCAAAATCCTATGGATACAGCTGTGTCCTTCAATGAACGCACAGGAATGTCTATGAAAACCTCATAAAAAGATTGGCAACACTGTTAGTAGATCCCCATATTGGTGCATTTTAACTTGTAATACCTTCAGCAACTGCCTTTTGTGAGGCTCTTCTTTTTCTAAAAACGTTCTTTGATGGAGTCTGATGTTTGAAGAGGTGCCATGGCACAATACCGGAGCTGGTATCATCCTCGCCTTTACTGCCGCGTTTCTTCTGCCGTCTGGACTTTTTCTTCTTTTTAGACTCAGGCAGGCAGACTTCCTTGTTGTCCCAAAGTCCATGGCACTGCATGGCAAGACATTTATCGTTACTCCCTCTGGTAGCTGTTGTGGTAGTCCAGAGACTAGGACAAGTGCTGTTGTATGTAAGATTTAGGGAGCACACATGGACTTATCCAGAGAGACAGTGCAAATAGCAATTATAGTGCACAGTAAAAAATTACAAACAATCTTCTAGCTGATTTGACTGCTAAATACTGATCGCTTAATATCGGTTAATATACTTATTGTCTTCTAACACTGGATTAACGAACAAGCCTATTTGTCTAACTTATGTATTTCAGAACTGTCTGAGTTGCTACAAACCATATTAGAACCTAGCTTGAATCTTAAAGGCTAAATCTGACTGGTGGCTGCAGACAACACAGACAGTTATCATTGGAGATCATTCCATAAACACAACTCTTTACTTTGTGCTTTTTAGATCACATGAAGTAGGGAAAAGCTTACTTTCAAGATGGAACGGTGCAAAAACAGAGCCAGGAGCTGGATGAGGTCAAAATGGACGTAACCATCTTTCTTTTCAATGCCCATGATATTGGGTAAACTGAAAGGTTTGTCTGCATTCATGCTCCGGTTCACTGTGGAAGTCCATGGAAAGAAACCAAACTGGAAAGAATACTTCAGGACAACTGTAATCTATTCAGTTGAAAGAGAACAAAGATAGTGTGGGGATAATTACCCAACTGGAGGAGGAACAAGTGAAAACATACATGTCAAACATAAATGTGGACATACTCCGTTTTGTAGCCTCAGCATCTGTGCCAGTTTCCATATCCAGTATTATCACACGCAGGAATAACACATCCGTGTGCAGAAACCAGTAAAGACAGTGTGAGATTATGTAATACACTCACTGCAGGCTTTCTGACTGGGCTGTAACTTGTTCAACTCAATGTTCTTCATTGCAATTATTAATGGTATAATTTACAGAAACAATCCTACATATATGGGGCAGCAAGAAATCTGGAAAAGATAGCAGTTGTAGTGCTTGTTCTTATCATTCTAACCGCCTTGCTATCATCCTTGAAGAGTTCACAAAAAGCACAAAACTCACAAATGACATTAAAAAAAAATCTGTCCTTCTATGACATACATGTCAAACTCAAGGCCCGCAGGCCAGAACCGGCCCGCAACGGAATTATCTCTGGCCCGCCTGATGATAATTCATTATCATTAGATCTGGCCCTGCCTGCCGCGATCTTCATGGGACTGAGGAGCTGGAGAGCTGCTGCTGGCCAGAGGTCTGCATTACCCAGCAGGCAGCCTAGCAGCAGCACAACGTGACAAGGGAGGTGTGGCCGTGAGGTGAGGTGACTAAGGGGGGTCCCGAGGTCCAGTCCAGATGACGTGAGGCGCTCCTTGGCGAGAATCAGAATCCAACCCAGACGACAGAGAGCCGGGAGAGCTGCCTGCAGGTGCTGTGCTGTGACACTGTCCGTCAGTATATCTCTCCCCTTCTTCTCCATCACTTCTTCTATACTGTAGAAGTCATGGAGAAGAGGGGGAGTGATATACTGAAAGTAGTATCTGTGACACCTGTGTACCGCCTGCCTCCACACTCGTATGTAATCTAATAATTTTTACTATAATTTAAATAAGAGAGAACAAACTATGTGGGGGGATGCTCACTGGGGACAGTATGGACATACTGTCCCCAGTGAGCATCCCCCCAACATACTTTTGTTTTTACTGTAATTTAAATAGAGATACAACTATTTTTTAAAACATCTCTTGAGCACCAATGACAGTGCATGGACCGTGAAGGTACACACCTCAGTGTAGATAATGGCAGTCATCCAGAAGCGTTTGGTAGGCCTCGGTACTGACAGCATCGCCCAGAGAAAGATGAGAATGGGCAGGATTAAAGAGAGGATGGAAGCAGACACCATGTGGTTGAGAATGATAACAAAGTAACATAGCATTTCAGATTTGGACACGACGGTGTTATAGAGTGCAAAGCCAAGACGCAGTGGGCGAGGAAGACTCTGGTAAAACCTATCCGACTCTTCCAGCTCCTCATCAAAATACATCCTGGAGGAACACAACACAGCAATGGAGGCAAATCATTAGACATCTGTGCATACAAACCTCTGAAAAGCATGCTCTTCATACTGTATTCATTGAGGGATAAATCTGACATAACATTCTTTCTAAAAATGAATCTATTTATCTCATTGTACAGACATGGTCAACCTTGTCCAACCCAGCCTATTGTTTGTTGAAGATTCAGGCCGCCAGTTCCTCAGATTTTGCTATCATTTACTATAAAAAAAGCCCTCTCCCTCATTCTGTCCTGTCCTATACAGCATGTGGGCAGTCAGGCTGAGCCAGGACTGCCATGGATCAAAATCACATTTTATTTAGGTCTCAACCTGCTTCAAAAACATGTTACCAATGGAACTCCTTCAGAACGGCTCCTGCTGCAACATATCTCATTGTGCACCTTCCTGTTTGTCATGTCTCTTACGGACACTTTTCCCTTTAAAATCTCTCATGAAGAACAGGTCATGAGTGGTCATGCAAGACAACAACATCGCAGATGTTCAGACACAAGCCAGGTGGTATGCAAGGTAGCATGTCTGCAGCAATAGATCTCATTACAAATGCTTGTATTGTGCCTTCATCTCCCTGTAAGTGGTGCTATGGGAACATGCTGAAAGCCAATGCTGTGCAGGCTGGTATTCCCCTTATTTTATTTTTTTAAGAAAACTTACTACAAATTAAAAAAACGATATCTTAATTCTGCCTGAATAAATTCACTGGTTAATGGACCTGCTGGTGTGATACAAGTCACTTCATGAGAAGCTTCCTTACTTGTTGAGCAGAAGTTGACTAGCAGTTAGACACTGGGGGACGTCTGCGAGTGGTTTGCTGCTTGAGGACTCATCGGTTTCTGAAGGCAGCTGGTCTTCCTTACAGATGACTGTGCTATAGGAAGGTGGGATGTCGGTCCTCGTCTGCTCGGTCATCTCTTCATCCCCTTCATAGTCTCCACCACCATCCTGACCAGAAGGCAGTTCATCTTCAAGATGCTCAGGACTACAAGAGTTAATGATTGATATTCTAATTACACAATTGTCAGACCAGGATTTTAGTATCATTGTTAGCTGATGTTGATGAGTCAGATTGTTTTGATTTCTAAACAAGAATGAGTTTATTGGGCTCTCTTCAATCATTACAGTATGTTAAAGACAGTTGTGACTGGCTGAATACACAGATTTAACCTGAAATTTTATCCTACAATAAATACCACTGGGAAAAATGTGGCCATGACAGATGCAGCAATTTGCAATGGCTTTTTTTGCCTAATGTGCAATGAATATGCTGCATTGCACTAAGATCTGCATTTGATGCAAAAGGAGCTCACAGCTAACCTTTGTGTGCTTCCAAATAGACTACAGCGCTTTTTTTTTTTTACAGATTTCCCCTTCTCCTTCCCAATTATGCATTAATTAAGAATTTTATGCAGAGTTATTGTTAGGAAGTGCGCAGAAGGTCCATTGTTTTATGTGTGTTAGGTGTCAGGCCTTTGTAGCACCTTTCATATATACTATAACACTATATTTATCTCAATACCTTTTTTTTTCTTATTGTTTTGTATAGCAATCTATCAGGGTTTTTTGAGGTGTGGAGTGCTCTGCAACAAAGTGATAAAATGGGTAGCAACTAGTGAAAGACAAATCTTAGGATAGAATAATCATTTTCAGCTATTAAGAATGAAATGTTTTTATATCATTTTCCGCCTGTACAGCCTCCTCTTCCCCAGTCTCAAAGCTCAACTTTACCTTGAATCCAAGCTATCAACTGAAGAGGAGTCAAATGCTTGCATGCGATGGGGAAGCCGACGTTTTGGGCTGTCTACAGAACACAAAGGGTCTTCATAAGATAGGACTAAATCTTCTGTGACACAGCTGACAATGCAAACAAAATCACAGTCAAGGTTTGTTCTAGAAATGCAGGTTTCATTTCCCCTAGGACTGAAGAATTGCTGAAAAATTATGCGCTTTTAACCAACATTGGTTCTTATCAGAAGGACTAAAATGACCCAATTTATGCAAGTGATGCTTGAATCAGTTGTGATTCTTATACAGCTTGGGTCCATTCTAAGACTAAGGAGATCTCTTACTAATAACATTCTAAATTACAGTCCTAATAAACCACATATGAACAGAGAACATGCATGGCAGGAGAACGTTTTATATTCACAAGTGCACTTGCAAGGTTATGCTTACACTGCCTAAATCAGAGAGCTAGAGTCAGGTCAACAAGGCCATGGACCCAGTTAACACCTCTTCCTGCCCCTGCTACTATGCCATGGCAAATACAAAATTCATTCTAGAGTATTTTGCACTGCTTCCCAAACCAGCCAGTGCATGACCGCCAGAAGCAGTGCATTGCTATTTTCATGTATAATAGATGCAGCATGCTTACTCGTTTTCATTCTGATAATATTAGGATTCAGTCTGATTACCTGGAAACAAAACTGTCCTGAGACTGCTGAGACTCCACACTAAGGATCTTACAGATCTCTAGCCTCTTGGGGGGAATGGACTCTTCCACAGGATTGCTGTGTTGTTCGTTTTCCTCGCTGGATAAGGTGTGAGTCCGTGATAGCTGTATGGCTTTATAATACTCTGATATGCAATCCTGTGAGGCTTCTTTACCCTAAAGACAAAAAAAAAAGTCTCCTGAAGAGATTTTAACATTCCATCTACATGATTTAGGCAGATGTTATGTAGGATGCTGCAGGCATAGCTTTTGCTGAAAAAGGTCCAGTGTTAGGTCACATGACCAGTAATAAGTCACTGCTCTCTGCCCAGGACTCTTGGGGCACTGAACTGACATACAGGTAGAAGGTTTTAAATACAGATCTATTTAAGGGGTCAATAGCTGCTTCTGTCCTTATCTGAGCTCAGGGGAATTCCTGGGCATAGACAGCTTTTCTATACACCGACTACAGGTGTCAATACTGATTACTGAACACACAAGACACTGCTTCCAGCAGCCAGTGAGGCATCAATAAGTCTGCAGACATGAACAATTAACTAAGATGAAAAAACAAATAAAACCTTCAGTAAGACCCACCTTGTTCAGGTTCCTCTGCAGCATACAGCGCTCCATCTTCAGCACCGTGGCAATGTCTACACTGTCCTTGCAGAAAGCGTTGAGAGTTTCAATGAGGTCATCTGCGAGAGCTTGGATGAAGACCCAGGAGAACTTGACGATATTGATGATCCTCTGAATTATATTCTCTGCCATACGGTACATGTGTGCAACAAGTCAGCATTGTGCATTCAAGCGTATGGCTGGTAATATGACAGTGTCACTATAATCACTTACCCGGCCCTTCTACATTATCATCCTGGCTTTCTGTCTCTGTTTCATCACGCTGGCATTCCTCTGACTTTCCTTTTGAAAATAGTAATGCAAATTTAAAACAAAAACATTGCACACAAATATGGATTCACTTCGAATGACAAAAATATAGTAGCTGCAGTGGGCCTTTTTTTTTTTTTTAAAGGAAGACCACTGAGAGAAAGGTATATAGACTGTCATTAGTGGCCTTCCCTGAAACTGACAATTGCCTGTCTTTCATGATGCAACTTTGGCATCAATGCGCTGAATCATCGAACCAGATAAACTATAGAGAGAAAGAAATCTGACTTTCCTTTAACTTTCAGGTGGTGCAATCTCTGAGCTGTCATCCCGATCCTTCTTTTACTACTAATGAGCCACTGACCTAGTGCAAGCATACAGATTTTCACACTTCACTGGCTGGTGTATGTTGGCAATTGATTACCTTAGCTTCAGTCTCCTTTAATCAGCAATGCTGAATATAACTTACCTTCCGTTTGTTGCTTTTCCATCTCTTTGCGGATTGTAATCTCATCATTCTTCCGCAGGTTCAGAGCAGACTTAGAGTTGGTGGTCCAGGCTTCATATGCTAGCTAAAGAAAATCAGTGTAAAAGTCTTTGTCTTTACAGCTATCTTTACCACACGGCCCTTGCTGGCCTGTGTGTGCTGCAGATCACCACCTGCCATTCCTGGTGAAAGATCTGCCATCTTTAGCCACTTAAAAATATTAAATAAATAGTAAAACTCGGACAAATATCGCTTAATGCAAGGATAATGTCAAAGTAGACCTTGTCTGAGATGTAACAATAGACTCAAAGTACAATCTACATTGCTCAATAATTTAAAATTTGTTTACAAAAAATTCTGAGGTTGTAGTTTTAACATAAAAATGGCACCACCCAATGCATGTTGACTTTGAGCATTCAGAAAATGCCAATATAGTATTGGAGACAGCCACTTTACTGCAGAGCTTCTGGCCCCCCTGCTCCATATCCAAAACAAATTTAAAAAAAAACCCTTTTGATTAGAGTGGGGCTTTAACCTGGGAAACAGTCATGCAATGCTATACCTGAAATGCAGTTTTCTTTTTAGGGGGTTCCTCTTCTCGCTTTTCCTCTCGAGTCTCTTCCTCTTCATCCTCACTGTCTGTATCGAACAGGGTGTAGCTTCCACTACGAACCACTAAATGTAATCAGACATTATCATGTATTTACTTGTCAATGGAATAGCAATTCTCTTTGAGCAGCAAATTTGAACATACATAGGTTTCACTTCTAGACCATCAAGAACAGGAAGGTGTGGTCAGTGAGATGCTGAATGTACATAATCATTGGTTTCCTTCATCCAACCACATACAGATGGAGATCTTCTCTTTAGGATGAAGAGTGGGGAGCAGAGCGGAGAATGCCCGTTCTCCGCTCTGCTCCATGTAAACACTGAGATGGGAGAGCTTCACTCACAGCGCTCCCTATCTCAGCTGTCAAAGGAGAGCCAGCACATTGCTGTGTTCAAACTCCTGTATTGGAGACGACAGGTTCAATAAAGAGAACCTGTCACCTCCAAATGCTATCACACAGGGGCTTGTTATCTCCGGTGTGATAGGAATAAAGTTAAGTGAAATAAAAAAATTGATAAAACAAAATAATAAAAAAATAAGAAATAATTAAAATAAAGTGATAAAAAGGTAAAAAATATAAAAAAAGGAAAAGATAAGATAAACATTAAAAAAGAAGAAAAAATGATTTAAAAAGATAAAAAAATAATAAAGAAATAAAAACCAACCCTTCTCTATTGGGGGGGGGCGAGGCGCATTTAGAAACCTGGCTTTGGGGCAGCAGAGATAGTAAATGTGGCCCTGGATGTGACCCCTCTACAAAATCTCTCACTCCTGAGTAACTTACTTGTGGTGTGGGACATCCATGGCTGCCACCACTTCTTTTTTCCATCTTTTTCTTTTTTATCGCCTTCTTCTGTAAGGTACAGAGAACACGGAGAAAGCAGTTACAGAGTATCACAAAGGACAGGGTAAATCTTTGTGTATAAAAAAAAAATTGCTGCTCATTCTTGTAACCTAAGTGAGTCACCTCATGTACACATCTTTCCTTTGAACCCATTAACTATCCTACTGCACATTCATAGCCTATAGAACACTTTGTAACTGTGTGGTCTAAAAGCACTGTGATCCCTGGAAGGCAGTGAAGTTCATAGGTTGAACACCTAGAAGCCTACTGCCACTAGTCGATGGAGTGCCCGCTCTTATTCTGTATCATGGGCACCAGATACGTCTGAGCTAAACTACCTTACATTTTAAATGAACAGAGAGTGTGGACCAAACCTCAGGGTCAGTGAACCACATCCCAAATTTTAGATCATTAGAACTACATAACCTCTAACACTGTTCAGGTGCTACAATTATATAACTACCAGATTAAAAGCAAACATTTTATTAAAATATCTTTAAAACTGCTGATTTTACAAATCAACATCAATATAATAAAATAACTCATACAATGTATCCACCAATATAATCCCTGAGAATGCTGGGGATAGTCAAAAGGGTGCTTGTACATTTGCATACAATATGTATATTGCTACCGCAGTGTGTTCCCTTCCCATCAGTCAATTATGTTCAGTATATATTGGGCAGGAGATGTTGTGAATGGAAAAAACAAATTACAGTCAGCTATAAACGATAATTGGGAAAGGTTAACACTTATTGACTTCAGCGTGTTTCACAGACAATAAAGTCTGTTTCCTCAGGAAGTGCGGTGAGGTTATATTAAATTGTAATAACACAAAAGAGCATAGTAGCTTCAAGTAACACATCTCCCAGCCCCACAGCAGGGAGCAATAGAGGACAAATTTAGGTGTTCCACACCAAGCCACATATGGGTAATAATAGGAAAATGGATCAGGGTGACCATTGACTGAATAAGGCTGCAAACTGTGAAAAAAACTCCAATCCAGCCATGTAGCTCCAAATTCAATGCATTCTCTTATTATGACATGCCGCCTAATATAAATGCGCAGCATCCTGTAGTCACTCAGTTTTCAGACTTACTGAGCGACTACAGGATGAAGAGAAGTCAAAACCAATCTCAAAAGGTAATGTTTCTTGGAGATAGAGGCCAGAGGATGGACCCCCCAAACAAACAGAAAGGCACTCCCAATATCCGCTTCCCCAATACTTTACATTTTAGGATCAGCTGCACTTTTATTAACCCGAAAGATTAATATTTCGTTTTTTTCACCTTTGTCCTTTGCTGATGACTCAGAGGAATCTTCAGCTGCACTCCCTTTCCGAGTCTTTGCCTCATCGGTTGCCTTCTGCTTGGATTTGATCTGCTCCATCCTATCAATTTTTAACACAAAGATAGAAGAGATGTGTTCACCTTAACACACTGCTTGTTTCATAAAGCAAAAGGGCAGCTTCCAAGTGTAATATGCCATAGCTGCCAATGACATTTAATTGGTCTGTACAGTAGATGGTCTGTACAGTAGATATTCACTGGCTTAATAAGTAGATCAAAAAATACCTTTTAATTTTACTATTAGGGCTTGTGTTGATGGACTTTGGGCTGCTGTCAACGGCAGAAGTTTGACAAGATTCTGAGATCAGAATTAATTGACAGGTGCATTTGACCTCTCTCTGACCTGCTTTTAGCATGTTTTGCATCTCTGTATGACTTGTAAGGACAGGCAAAGCCCACGTGAAGCCTCCAAAAGCCCATTGCCACAGGCCCCTACTGTGCCATTCCAGATGCCCACTTACCGAACTGAATAAAGAATACATACACCATTAAACTTCACATAGCACTGCTCAGGAACAAGGGCACACGGGAGACAAAGTAGTGGCATGCATATGTGTCTAATTATAGAAATCCTAAACTGCAGAGACAGATAATGTGATTAGAATCACTCACTGCTTTTTCATTGCCTGGGAACATTTCTTCTCTTCTTCTAGACGTACCGCCACAACCTTCTTAATTTTCTCTTCAAACAGTTCTGCTCCTCTGAGTATTTCAATCCAAATAAAATAGCACCTTTTTAGTTTTTTTTCCACATATTTCATAGTAACATTCACTTTGATACATTATTGCTTTTATGTGTAAACCACAATAAGCAGATATGTATTAATAAAATAATAATTAAATGCAGTTTAAAATAAAACTAGTTTAAATGTGTTTTATTAATCCTGACATGTAAACCTTTCCACAGCAATACATAGACTAGGGGAGGGAGGGAGGAGAGGAGGAGGGACTTGGCTTTGAGCCAAGTGTGCAGCGCACAATGCAATATGCTTACAGGAGGATAGAGTAGAGCACCAATCTAATCAGTGTGTTTCTGCTCCTTTATTGTCCAGCCACAGGCTTGTGGCAATTAGGTGACCAGAGATGTAGTCTTTAACTGCAGCAGATAAAAAGTGACATTACTAACTAGACTGGCTATACTGTCTGGCCGGGATTCTTGGATCAAAAGACTGGCCCGGCACAATGCCAATCCGGTAAAACAGCAGAGGTGTCTACTCACCCTGCTGCTGCTCTTATGGACTTTTTCTACTACTGACTACATGTGGCACGTGGACAGGCAGACACAGCAGAGTTTTCAGTGAGGGGAGGAGCATGAACAACTGTGAATAGGTGTCTTCAAGAAAATGTTACCTTCACTGAGGTGGTATGTAAAGCTGGCCATACACTATACGAATTTCAGCCGGTTCTTGATGATCTGGTCGAAATTCGCACAGTGGATGCCCCTCCTGTCAGCACTCTTCCACTCGGCATCCCTCAATCAGACAATCGAAGGAGCCGGCTGGAAAAATCTTTAGCTGCAAGCACCGTTCGGACCATCAGCTGCAAGCACAGTTTGTATATTTTAAAAGCGTCCGGCGGCCGCTGTTAGAATACAATGCAGGCGGTGGAGGATTCGTCCATCAAAACTGCTTAGCGTTGATGGAAGAATCTGTGTATGGGCAGCTTAAGAGCTTCTACATTAGGTGACATCTGGAGACAGAGCAATACCTGGAAGCCAGGAGTTTCGAAGCCTTCAGATCTGCTACGACATACAGGAAGTAATAGCTGCAGAACACACGGCGCTGTATCAGAAGAAAAGTAAAACAGATTGCATCCCACACAATTCCTGCTTCATTTTCAGGCAGCTCACATGGGTCTTCCGATGGGATATCTGCAGAGAAGGTCATGTTTATACACAGGCACAAGATTCTAAAAAGATCTGTCCACCCAAAAAGGCCATGTGGTTTTGTTGGCTGCTTGGCTACCTAATAGTTTCTTACATTTCTCTAAAATAATGCTCATGATCGCTTGTGTCTTCAAAACCTTCTTCAGGTATAACGTGCATACCTGCACAGCCTGCAGTCTCAATTTTAGTACAGCTGAAGTTTACCTTCTCCCTCTGGCTTCCCACACATTCCTATTTTCCCTTCACTATGATAGGCTGCCTCTCATGGTCAATAGAAAAGTGTGGGAGGAAGTATAGGATGGGCGAACTTCAACAGTACAGAAAAAACTTTAGAGTTTTGCCTGAGCAGAACAGCCCAAATGTAAATTATTTATATGTAACATTTATAGAGAATAAGCACTGGAAACACGCCCAGGTGGGTGCGAACATCCAAAACACTCTAATGGGCAACCACAGAGCTAGAGACCTATGCCAAGGAGACATCACAGAGCCTTAAAATCTGACGGTAACCAAACTCGTCACACTCTGCCTGTACATCAACTAACTTTTTTGTGTGGATGGATCAGTAACATTTTGAAACATCAGAAAACCTACTTAAGTCGTATCCTTTGATGGTGCAGAACATGCTAAACGTCTGGATGAGCCAGCAGTTATTCTTCATCAGTTTGTCCAGGTAGGCACAGGCACCAATCTAGAAAAGGAAGATTTTATTTTTTGCATCAGTGAATGAAAAGTGCCACAAGTGGAGAACAAGGATTTTAGCTTTCCCCCTGACTTCCAGGGAAAGAACCTTCCTATATAACTTGTTATACTAGTAACTACACCATAAAAGTCCTGTATTTCTGCTTATCATAAAAATATCTGCCATTATTAAAATAAATACATGCAACCAATATTAACCCACCAATCACTGGTTGCTTCAGGTTACTTCACTTTGAATATCCTGTTCCCTGTTTGTACTCTTATTAAAAAGAGTTGGTAATTTCCTCTAGACCTCTAAGACAGACTTGTGCCTGACATGCTAACATGTACCTAATTAACAGCTAAGTGACCCTTTTAGGGTTTTAATTGCCAAAACAGTAAGCCACACCATTTAGCTTAAACCAACAAAAATGTTAAAGTAAAAGTTTAATTCTTGCAAATCATAAAAGTAAATGACAGCAAATCAATCCCAGATACAGACAACACATTCATGTTTTTGTAAAGAGATGGTTATCTACATATAGGCCACACCGTGAAAAAACATTGAGCACACGTACTGAAAGCAGGTTCTTCATGGTGATGACGAAGGCTGTGTAGACAATAAGATAGTTCCACAGCTTTAGCATATGGCGGACTGGCTTCAGCAGAAGGCTGCCCCCAAACAACATGAAGTGGAAACAGGCCATCAGGTATCCCATACATAGGATGTTTATACGGGTTGTTCCGGTGATGAAGATTAAGCACAGCACGAACCAGAAGTGGAAGCTGAACACAACCACTTTAGCCATATCTAGGTAAGACCTGGGTGCAACAGAGCAAGAGTATGTGACGGTGCAAGCAACAAAACAAGAGTATGTGAACAAGCAAGCAAATCTGTTGGGAGTGAAAACTCCAGGGGTTAGATTTTGTGCCTGGTGTGCATATCTTGCCATCTCCAATGTTCTGGAGCAGGGGTGCCCATTAGGTAGATCGTGATCTACCAGTAGCCCTCAAAGCTGATCCTAGTAGATCACGAAGGGTGTGAATGGCGGCCTCTTTATTCCATTTTGGTATATTTATTTAGCTGTGCACACATGATTACCTATTAGCCTGAGTCTGCTGAGCCAAGCTCCATGACACCTTTCTGGTGGATACTGGTGGTTGAAGTGCTATGTAATACATCAAAGAATATTAGTTTACACAGCCTGTTGCACTACACTGTTTGCAAAATACAGCAAGGTGAGCCAGGAGAGAGAGCGGGGAGAGACAGCCAGGAGAGAGAGCAAGGAGAGAGAGGAGAGACAGCCAGGGGAGGGAGCAAGGAAAGACAGCCAGGAAAGAGAGAGAGGAGAGACAGCAGGAAAGAGAGAGAGGAGAGACAGCCAGGAGAGAAAACGAGGAATGACAGCCAGGAGAGAGAGTGAGGAAAGACAGCCAGGAAAGAGAGAGAGGAGAGACAGCCAGGAGAGAAAACGAGGAATGACAGCCAGGATAGAGAGTGAGGCAGCCAGGAAAGAGAGAGAGGAGAGACAGCCAGGAGAGAAAACGAGGAATGACAGCCAGGATAGAGAGTGAGGAAAGACAGCCAGAAGAGAGAGGCAAGAGAGCCAGGAGGATGAGCAAGGAGAGACAGCTAAGAGAGAGAGAGCAAGGAGAGACAGCCAGGAGAGAGAGAGAGCGAGGGAGGTTTTTTTCATTGGTAGATCTCATGTAGCTCATCATTTGAAAAGTAGATCTTAACACAAAAAATTGTGGGCACCCCTGTTCTAGAGAATAGGAGATTTTTAAAAATGTCTGCTTTGAGGTGGGTAATAGCATTGAAGTGCACCACTGTCACCAAGGAGACTCTTTCGCAACAACTTTGCTGGCAGCAACAGGGGGAACACTTTTTTCATCCACCTCTTAGCAGAGTGGGGACCAGCATTACTAAAGAGAGGCAGTTATAATCCTGATTGTTATTCTTACTCATATACATGCCCACTATGCCCATTTTGAGGCTTGTCAGGCTTACCTGCAGTGTAAAAAATTAGGAACAGGGCTGTACTGGGACAAGTCTCCTGGATCCAAATCCTTACTGATCTCAATGTTGTCCCCAGCCAACATACGGACAGAAGCCAGGTTCTCATCCTCAAACACCTGGCACTGCAGGGAGGCAAAGAGCAGTAGCATGGCATCATCTGTACAAAATAAGGTGCAAGTTAATAAGATACTCACACTATAACGTGATCTGTGTAACATGAAAGTTTTAATCCAACGGAGATGGAGATGTCACCTGTGCATATATATGAGAGCAGCTAAATGACACACGTTTGTTATACACCTCCAGTGGCCAGATATCTTCACCACTATTTAGAATCACTTCTCCAACATTCTCCTTACTGTAATCCTTCAGGCTAAGGCAGTCTTTCCCAACCTTTTTACCTTACAATAATTTTCAGGTCTCAAGGAACCACTGCTAAAAATGATTACACTTACAGCATGGTAAATTAGCATGATCAGTAAGTTACATAGTTACATAGTATTTGAGACGGTTGTAGGAAGTTTTAAATAAAAGAAAGAATGTGGCTTACCTTGTGTATTTGAGGACACAATATTTTTTTTACCACCCCATATTCTATACAGAAAAGTAATTTCAGTAATAATCTTGAAATTAGAAAATTAGTGATGCACTGATACCGATATTTCAGTATCGAGTACAGATATTTTTTTTCCGGTACTCTCCTATACCGAATACTAAGTACCGGAAGTCCCACTCAGGAAGCCAGGCAGAGTGTAAAGACTCGCCACCTGGCTTCCCGATTAGCCGGGAAGCTGTCCCCATGCTTCTCGTCACTAGGTGGCAAGAAAGCATGAAGCCAGTTTTCTGTCCAATCAGGAATAACGCGGCGCCCTACTTCCTGATTGGCCAGGAAACCGACTCCATGCTCCCTCGTCATTACACGGCGCCCGGCTTCCTGATTGGCCAGCTTCCTAACCAATCAGAAAGCCGGGCAGCGCGTCATTATACGCTGCCTGGCTTCCCAAGTGGCCGGGAAGCTGGCTCCATGCTCCCTCGTCATAAGTGACAAGGGAGCATGGAGCCAGCTTCACAACCACTAAGGAAGCCGGGCAGTGTGTAATGACGCACTGCCCAGCTTCCTGATACCAAAAGTATCGGTCTAGGCATCGGAGCATTTGGGCGAGTACGAGTACTCGCCCAAATACTCGGCACCGATACTAGTATCGGTGCATCCCTAGAGAAAATTGTGTTGCTCGCTTACAATCATGATCAGTGTAGAAGTGACTACTTCCATTGGTTATTAATGGAAAATTACCTGGGTGTAGAAGTACATAGCTCTCACCACAATAATAAAAAAAACAACAGAGGGTGCATCTACACTTTCCACACCCACCAAAAATTGAATAAAATCAGCTTTGTCTGGTCTAACCATAAAGGATAAAAGGTACCATTAAAAAGGTAAAACATATCTCTTATACATAAAAAATGCTTAAGTTTTCTATGTTGCACACAGTATTTGTTTTCTTTCTTTTTATTTCAAACATACTTTGGAAAAAGTTTGGAATTCAATGATCTGTTAGTTTCTGGTAACTCATACACATTTTTTCACAAATATTTATTAAAATCGATGACAAGTGTGAATTACGTACAAAGCAGGAATTTTGGATCTGGAGCCTTGGCAAAATCAGGAAGGTACAGCCACTTGATGAGGTTGGAGCTGGGCTTCACTGGCAATGAACGCCATGGATAATCTGTGTGAGATAAGTAGCCAGCAGTTTTTAGAGTTAGCAATAACACCACAACAAGAGGTATGACCTAACACCCCCAATCCCATCACAGAATGAGATCTAATACATTTCTATAATGACTAGACTTTAGGGTGGAAAGAAGACTCAGGCCTTTGTGAAAGATCGGATCCAGCTAGGATGACTGTATACCACAAACTTTCTATCTGCAATTTCTGTAAATTAGTCTACTAGCAATGAAAGGCTAATATGACAAAAGCTACCTGGCCCGAGAGCATGAAGAACTCTATAGAGAACCAATAAAAATAATTAGCATTGTTTCTTACTGAAAATCACAAATAACTCTCAAAGTTCACCACTGAACATACGGGGATAGTGCACAGACCACAGTGAAAGAAAGTGATACATCATCAAAAATATGGGTTCCTGGTAATATTGCACCACACAAGTGTATGGCAATGTGATTGTACATGGCACTAATGTGGAAAAACAGTCTCTGTGTCAGTGACCAAACTGAAAGAAAAAATTACTATCATTGTGCATATTAAAAAGATGTTGATTACTTTATTACACACACACACATTCACAGGAAATGTGCAACAACATCATGCTCCAAGGAAAGTGCACTTATTACCACGTTATCCTTAGGGCTGCAGCTAACGATTCTTCTCATAATCAATTAGTTGTCCGATTAATCGATTAGTTGTTGCAGCCCTAGTTATCCTAAATTTGAACATACAAACTGCAACAATATACCACACCTGTAACAACATTTTTCTGCAACATATGCAAAATGCCTCAAGAAAATATAATATGGAGAGAAGCTTTTTACAGCACTTGGATATTTCACAAGAACGAAATTGGCAAGAAATTAAGAGTCCTACTTATAGGGTATGCAAGTCACATCAAATTTATATTCTTGCACTTTACATTCTACTAGAACTGAAAATTGACAAAAACCATTGGAAGGAGTCTTTGTGCTGAAGCATTTAAATATTACCCAAAACTGGCACAAGAGTAGGACTTTAAAAATAATTATTTTTATAATTTATACACAAGAACATGTGAAGAAAACAAATTATACCCATTAATATTACCTGTGCAGAATGCTGGAGGAATACCAATACAAATAATGTATTGCAGAGTCATTATGCTGGCAGTGAAGCAGCAGTATCTTGGCCAGACCTCCGCTATGGTTTTTCGTCGACGCAGGTAAAGTAGATAGAGCAACCAACCAGCATGCATAGCAGCATAGAAATCCATCCGTTGTCCAATCACATTTACCGAGATCACAAAACAAACCTGAAAGATTGAAACTGTACCTAGTATGTTCTATACTTGTCTGCATACATCCAAATCACACTGAAGTAAACCTATGCATCAACATACTTTTTTAAAAGTCCAGCAAAAGGTCAGACACTGTAAGATGCTATTACCTTTATTAGCCAAATCTGTGCCCCTCTAGGATTTAAGGCAACTTTAAACTCAGGAGTTAAACATACATTCAAGTGCCTTTAAGCGGACCTTTACCCATATCTTTAGAATAACAACAAACACACCTTTAGAAATGTTTAGTAATGACAATGTACAAACACATACTTCTAGATAATTGCCGGCTTTGTCATCTTTGCATATCTTATTTTTCTTTTCTTTCCCATTCTTCTGACAGCGGCCATGTTTACTAAGGACAGATTACTAGCTCTCCTTCCACTAACTGGATTTCTGGCACATGTGACTACAACATGTGACCATGCACATCATCTCAGGGGAGGAAAATGCCTTTCCCTGATGTCTCATGAGATTACTGATGAGATTTCCCAGCAATGCTCTGCTAATGACATGGCAATCCCTGTGTGCATTGCTTTGGCAAACTGAAGTCATTTTGCCCTTTCAAAGCAGGAAGTGAATGCTCTGCAAGTGTAAGTATTTCAAAATCACAGCATTTTACACCTGAAATGTCTATGTTATTATTAATCATCATACATAGAGGGATGCATTGGTAGAATTTGATTTTTGAGTGTAAAGGACCGCTTTACCTATTAACAAAAATGTATCTTATTTGTGTATCACTCGGCTGTAGATCCTTCAAATCAGCTCTGAATTGGTGCTGACACTGTGTCCTTTCTTCTGGAGGTTGGCTACTTTTGTTCCCCATGGTCCCTGTCTGTGTTGTAAAGTAGTCACCGCTCCAAGCTCACTCCCATTATGGACTACAATCTCACATTTAGTTTACTAATTTTTATTGAAATTATGGTCTACCACCAGACGCCGAGCAAAGGATTTTGCAGTAAGAATAATATCCTATTTTCTATAGCGTCCACTGAGGGACACATATCTGAAGAATTCTGAGATACAGGAATATTCAAAAGCAGTCCAAGCAGAGGGTCGGGCACCATAACAACTAGAAGAAAAAGCTCAACAAAAAAGAACTGTCAAAAAAATACTAGAACAGCCGCCTGAAGACCTTTTCTGCCAAAACCAGCTTCAGAGGAGGCAGACACATGAACTTTTTAAAACTATGAGCCCCCCTGATGATTGATTTAGATCACAGCCATGGCATTGTCCGATTGCATTCAAACCGAGACCTGAGAGAAAGGGGGTCCAATGAGACAATAACATTAGGCAAATTGCCTGCAACTCCAAGATGTTGATAGGGAGCTTTCTCCTAAAACCAGCAACCCTGTGATCCAGAAACCTTCCCCAACCCAAGAGACTGGCATCCATTGTTACAACATTTTAATCACAAGGAAGAAAGTATTTCTCTTCTGTCAAGGCGGGAAAAATTATCCACCAGGACAGAGACACTCTGGTTCAGGAACTCCACCTGATCATCCTGTCCAGAGAGAGACTGAACTTGTACCATGATGTGAGAATATTTCACAGAAGAATCCTGGAGTGAAACTGATCAAACAGAACTGCTTCGAAGGTGGACACAATTACACCCAGAACTCTCATGCATGATCGCATGAAGGACAGCGGATGAGTACGAGGCAGGCAAATTTGACTTTGCAATTTGGTCGAGTTGTCGCTGGTGACGAGGAGGAATCAGGGGCGATTCCATGATGTTTGGAATTGTTTCAAAGTCCTGTAAGGTTCCACATTGGTTTCCAAAAAGTCAGAGAAGACCATTTGCAAAGCAAAAAATTGTCTAAAATATCAAAAAATCAGAATGTCCTTTTTGGTGAAAAAACCCCCCAAACAGAATAGTAGCAAGAACCTTGGTGAAAACCCTTGGAGTCAAGGCCAGAACAGAGGGAAGGGCCACAAAGTGATAATGGAATTCGCCTACGGTACAGGGAGGATAAACTTTGATGATTCAGAAAGATAGGAATGTGGAAACATGCATTCTAGATGTCAATGGAAACCAAGAAATCTCCTAGATGAGGGAAGCCAATAGCTGAATGAACAGATTCCACTCAACCTTTTGAGTTTGATCATAAGCATTGAGAGATTTTAAAATCGAGTATGGAACAAAACTCCCTTTGAAACTTGGAACAGTAAACAGGTTTGAGTAAAAACCCAGAAAACTTTCTGTTAGGCAACTAGAACAATAACTTCCTGATCTAACCATCCCTGGAGCGCCGAAAGGTCCACCCAATGCTGCAGCGACATAGGCAGATGAAAGGCAAAGAATCCCGGAGGACGGATAAGTTAAAATTTTGTTTTGTAACCGTAAACCACTAAGGGAAACAGGTGTGAGGCGGGAGGGGTTATGATCTAAAAGTGGCAGGCTTTTAATTTTTTGCCTAGTGTCCAATTCTCCTGAAGGCAGCAGTACAACCCTACCTCTCAGAATTCTTCAGAGATGTGTCCCTCAATAAACGATGGGGAAAAAAGTGTCAGGCTTAGACAAAGTAACCTAAATATGTGAAGAAATATCAATTTTTCATAAGTAAGTGTGCAGTTATAATAAAGACTGATTGTTCACATTGCTGCATCGTCATGACAGGTACCTTTAAAGCACTATTTGAATATAAATAAAAGACACAAAACCCAATTGAAGCCTTTTTAAGAAGTACAACTATTTCTGTAATAATAAACCTACAAATGTCCACATGCCTGTAGCTAACAAAAACATATGCAGTGATGTGAATTTGTTTTCCTGTATGTAGCCACTCCTCATAACTGATCAGGACAGGAAAAACAGCACTACTCCCATAATGCAAAAGAAGCTTACTATTCTGCTGTAGGCTTTGCCGTCATAATGTTAACACTAACGTAGCACTAATTGAAATTGTTTTAGGGTATCAGGCAAAGTGCTGCCTATTGGCTTCATTGTAATAAATAATACAGGGAGACAAACATGTTAATTGGTTGTATTTTGTGATTCCCTGACAAAATTAAATAAATACTACTTTAGTATGCAGTTTTATTTAATACTGGATTGAGTAGTATTCTGAAAATTAACACTCTGTTTAGAATTTTATAAGTAAGATTATTCAGACCCTCACCTCCAGTCCAAACTTGTAAAAAAAGTAATTGATAAAGTACTTCATGCAGTTGATAACTCCATCGTCTAGATTCTTCCGTGTGATATTGTCAAAGATGCTCCCAGTAATGGGAGTGATGAGCTTGTTGTGTACTCGGTAATAAAGTTGGTGCCGGTACACTGTTGCCTCAATAGCCATCAGAGCCAGAACAATAAGATGGTTCTACAAGTGGAAATGATCAATGATAAACATCTCATACTGTACCGGTAAGATGCATTTAAAGAAGAACTGAGCTTTGAAGCCTCAAAAAAGAAAAAAAAAAAAAGCATGATAAAGTATTAGTCACCAGTATTGACTCCCTGCAGCTGATCTTTCCCCTATATCATGGCAGAGGCAATGCTTTGCTTCCTCATGTTAGAGCCTCCAGCAAGACATCAGCAGTAGTGACATCTCTAAATCTCACTCCAAATGTCCTGATAAAGCAATCAGAGGCATCATTGTCTTAGATCTCATACTGCAGATAAACAGTTCTGAGGCTGTAGCAGGAGTGCCTAGGTACACTCACATGCCAGGAGGTGCACTCCTGTTTTTCAGGAGGAATTTTAGACAAAGGTGTACATTTTCTGGTTACTGCTTAAGTACCATTAACATTTAGAGATGTTCCGTATAACATAACAAATATTCACTAGAGTTCAGTTCCACTCAAAGTTCACCTGTCTCCTCTTTTCAGGGAAGAAAACCCTACGGCCTGAATATCAATTTACTAAGAAATTAGGAAGTCAGAGTTTTATTCTTCATTGGTGATGCCACTGGTTCATATCAAAAGTGGAATAATATGTGATCTAACAAACTCTGAGATGCCATGTCTAAGTAAAATATGGTATATATAAGTGATGCACATCTGGCCTTATTTATGAAAGGTCTGGGGAAAGAACTGTCTGATTTGTTCCATTCATTCCTCGTTTCTCTACAATGGAAACCTAACTGGCTTCAACAGACAAAACAGACAGATTTAGGTGTCCTTTAGATACATTTATAAATGAGCCCCTGTAAAGGAACAGCAACACGTGTTAGGGGTGCAGCTGTTCCTGAACCCAGCTCTGAAGCAAATTGCTTCAGAGGGGGTAAATTGGAGGTTAAATTGTGTGCATGTGGAAACAGGGAACAGGAAATGTATACAAAGACCAACTCATCTAAGAGGATGACAAGCCACAATCTTTTGATATCATCACCCTGCCCCATGGATAACATCACCTCTACAATGGCTCTAAAGTTAGAGTTTTCTCTTCACAAACGTATAAACAAAAGGTTGCAGAGGAGGAAGGCTTAAGATCTAAATTAAATATAATTACAGTATCATACCTGGATGCAGGGCAAAACACCGTCTGCACATTTTCGCAGACCGCCACACCACAAAGCAGGGTCCACGGGTGCCACATATAACACAGATTTCTGTAAGAGCTCGTCTGAGATTGGACTGTAGAGACTTCCGTTGTGGTATAAGCCCTGCAAGGGAACAATGATCACACCGTGTAAGGAAATATAAAAAGGCATAGAACTAAGAATTTAGATGTTGTAGGTGCTGCCAGAATTTGAACTTGGGATATATACATTGCTGGCAATTAAAAAAGCCCTACAGTGATCTTTCTAGTGTATTTCAAAAGGCTTGAAAAACCCTTTTATGTTTATGCATTATCCCTGGACAGTCCCTTCTAAACAGGCTGGGCATACGTCTGACCCAGTGTTTGATTCCCTTCCCACAACCAATCACAATTATAAACCTCTGAGCTTCAACTCAGTCAATGGCAACAGTATTGTATCTACTGACCTCTGTGCAGTTGGAGGAGTACTCAAGCGGTTTAACAAACTTCAACTGATACATCATCTTGCAGATGACCATGACACAGGACCATATGGTAGAGATGTTGGAAGCATATGGGCGGAGATGTGAATATGGAAGTGCAAATACCCATGGCATGTAGAAAAGACAATTCATCAGAGACACCTGAAAACACAATACAGCAAGGTCTAATACATGTGCACTTTGTCATTTTAGACTTTATTAAAACATAGCACTGAATGGGGTTCTTTATTCTCAACATTAAAACATCTTTAAACAATGCTTCCAATTAGCAGGGGCTGTCCCATTCTGACCCTGAACATTCAGCTGTTGGTGGGGCCTGCAGTTCCAGTTAAGAGCTTGGCAAATGTTGAGCAACCTGTAACAGGGAATAGCTGCGTTCCAAAATCAGGCAATTCGCATTCATTCCCACCCTGCTGAAGGGATATCTTATTTCTAACTGAAAGTGAAGCATGTAACTTTACTGATTAGATATAGATATGTGATTCTGTAAAGGGCGGCAGTGAAAAAGTTATGGTGCACCTGTGCCCAGACTGTGAACATGAAGTTATTGATATTCTTAACAAGCCCTAAAAGAGCTTTGAAACCAGCTAGCTCTGACCTCTCCAGCTGCTCTTAATGTGAAGCAATTTGTTACCAAAGTGGAATGCAAGGGGAAAAACTATTTTTATATAGTTGCTTTGTAAAAATAAATAAAAACTGATGGGTGTCCCAGGTGTGGGGATGCTGCTATGAATACGTTACGGCTCAGCGCTCGACTGAGCCGCTCGGCCGTGATCGGGAGCTGTACGGGCTATTGTGAATAGCCGTACAGCACCCCCTCGGTTCTCCTGAACCGAAGGGGTCCTGGTGCCAAAGCTAGCCGAAGGATCGGCCGAAGCTACGGAAAGCAGATCCTTCGGCAGCTTTGTGAATAGACCCCTTAGTTTCATGCATCCTGTCACTAGTGTAAGCATCAAATTTCCGGATCTGAAACTCAGTTTCATCTCTCACACACAATGAAGGATAGTGGGTGGCTCAGACTTCATCTTGTCCATTCACATTTTGAATTCTTTTCACACAATATAAGGTGTTCTGTGACTGGATGATGGAAGATCATTATGCTCATCTGCCACTCCCCTTGTCCAATCACAGAATGCCTTGTATTCTGTAAAAAAACAAAAACGTGGAGTGTGACACTCATAATTAGGAGCGATTTATTTTTACACAGAAAATATCTAAAACAGGTTTTTTTCCTGGAATAAGGCTTTAAAGATCCACAAAGATCAATTAAAGACTCTAAAGTCCCGTTTCAGTCCATTTTTGACCGCTTAGAAACATCTGCTATTTCTTTACATTAAAGGGCTAACAGGCTGCCAAGATCTGCTCTCCGCAGAAAATAAACTCAGAATTCACTGCGTCTGTTGTAAATTTAAAAGATACATTCCTCCTCGAGTCCTATAGCTACAGAGATGAATGAGGATTTGTTTTAAAGGTTTTACAGTTACTTTAATGTGCATAGCCTGGACACAGGTTCACTTGAAAGTGGGGTCTATGATGAATTTAAAAATGATAGGATACCTCTTTGAGAGTGATCCAGATGACCATGGAAGACACAATCTTGAGAAAGTGTAGTTCTAGCAACCTCCACAGGAGGACTTGCACGTCATGGATGAAATTCAGCAGAGTCAGGAGCATGGACATTAACTTGTCAATCACAAGAATCCAGGGGTTGGTCTCTGGAAAGAAGTAGCATTTGTTATACACCCTCACACATTGTATAATGGCTCTTGGTATTTTCAAAAATATTAATTCTCTTTACTTACAAAACATACTTGTAGTGCTGCTGAATTAAAGCACATGTAAACCCCAAAACAAAAAATGTCATATTTCACCTTTCCAGTCCTTACATATACTGGCTGCATTAGATTTATTTTTTTCAGGTTAAGAATATTTTCAGCAAGTACAGAAAATACCTGTTGATCTTGCCAGAAATAGTGTTCTTGTCCCTTCCGAAATAAAAAATAAAATTACTAGCCCCACCTAATCACCATTTAAAAGGAGATCAACAAAGGCAATCATGTTTTGAAGTTCAGCCTGTGTTACAACCTTGGCTGCCTCGATAGATTTACAATAGAGAAATGCGCATCTGTATAAAGATCACAGATTCCAGTTTTTACGTGAGAAAATATTTATATACCGTATATACTCGAGTATAAGCCGTCCCGAATATAAGCCGAGGTACCTAATTTTACCACAAAAAACTGGGAAAAAGCATTGACTCGAATATAATGCCACCTAAATTAGGACCCGGAGACTGCCAGATGACCCCGCTCGGAGCGCCGCCCACCGGAGCAGCAGTGACGCGACGCTCGGCGAGGTAAGTAAGAAGAAACCTGACGCTGACTCGAGTATAAGCCAAGGGGGGCACTTTTCAGCAAAAAAAATGGGCTGAAAATCTCGGCTTATACTCGAGTATATACGGTATACAAGGTTTTGTCATACAACATACACAGGACAATGTTAATCACCTGCAGACTGTGTGCTGTCTGTGGTCAAATCTGGATCCACAACAATGTCGTCAATCTTCTCCAGTGTGCTTTGACTGGCGCTATTTTGTTTCTCAACTTCCAGCCTGCAAAACACGCAGACTAACATTACATATAACTGATCACATCGATTAAAGGGTCAGCCCACCCAAAACAGAAATTACAGCTATGGATCAATGTCAAATTATCAACAAGTTTTTTTTAGATTACTGATCATTCCCACCTTTCAACTTTTACTGTTGATTTTCCAACCCTGGTTTCTTTTTTAAATTACACTTTATAAAGAAAATGCAGCGGGAGTAGTAACACTCCATAACAGGGGAAGGGGGCTTTAGGATGGGAACACGTGTGGGTAAATACTGCTGTTGTATTGCCTAGTCAGTCACTGACACTTATCCAAAATGTAACAGATAACTGCCATTCCCCCAAAATTGTGCCCAGTGTAGGTGCAGATCTCAGAGGTGCAGATCCCGGCTTTAAGAATGATGATCCTAGGTGCATGTTTGGAGCTGGAAACAGACACCACTGTTACTTTCTGTGGCCAGGTAATCACGTTTTGAAACATTTCAGTAGGTACTGAGAGTGTCAAGGAAAGGCCAGGAATTCATCGTTTGAATATATGCTTTCAGCGGAATGACCCTTTAAATAAACAATATTCTTAAATAAAAATAACAGTGAACTTCTATCTGGAAAGTGCAGTAATCCAGAGCAACCAACAATCCGTAATAAACCCAAATGAAAGTTGAAATCTGATTCATGGCTATGGGTTAGTCCACATAATATATGTCTTGTTGAACACGGCTAATGTTGCCAGAAAAAGTAGGGATGCACCGATACCAGATACTGGGATTTATCTTTCGGTACTTGACATTATTGAGTACCAATACTTCCGCTAGCATGAAGCCTCCTTCCCGGACATTTAGGAAGCCGGGCGGCGTGTCCTTAATCGCCACCCGGATTCTTGATTGCCCGGGAAGTTGGCTCCATTCTGTTTGGCCAGCTTGATTGGATGGGAAGCCGGCTTCCCAGCCTATCAGCATGGAGCCGGCTTTCTGATTGGCCGGCTCGATGCCGATTGGCTTTAGGTATCGAGTACTGTTATTTATCTTTCTGTACTTGCCGATACCGAGTACTGATACCGGCACTTCCGCTAGCATGGAGTTGGCTTCTCGGGCAATCAGGAAGCCGGGCAGCGTGTCATAACCCGCCACAAGGCTTCTTGATTGCCCGGGAAGCTGGCTCCATTCTCTTCCGACGGGAAGCCAGCTTCCCAGTCAATCAGCATCGAGCCGGCTTCCTTATTGGCCGGGAAGGCGGCTCCATGTTTCCTCACAGCACTGCCGGTCAGAGGAAATTTCCCTCTGACTGGAAGTTCTGGTACTGGGGAAGGTATCAGAGCATTTGGGAGAGTATGAGAAAGAATAATACTTGGTATCGGCACTGATAAAGATACTAGTATCGGTGCATCCCTAATAAAAAATAACTAATTCCAACCAAAATTTAAACTTCATTCATGCGCTACACCCAACTGCCGAGGCCAATACAAAGCAAAATATCAGTGCTATGACTCGGTAGTGCAGCAAAGCAGATTATTTATAATGAAATCTCACACTTGAGGGTCTCCGAGAGACAAAAAATCACTGGTGCCCACCCAAATCTGAAATGTCAGCTTTTGGAGAGGGCAGCCTTTAGGCATAAAACCATAGCATGGAACTACATTATCCTCAGGAAAATAAGCACTTGGTTCAGGTGTTGCAAGCGTTTCAAGAAGCCAGAATTCCTCTGTTCCTTACGTCTTCTGTAGACTGCCAAGGTTTTCCTTTATCCTGAAAAAGGACAAATAACCAAATTGTTATTTTGTACTCTTTAAGCTTTTCAAAAAAAGTAGAGACAGTTGGTTTAAATCTGTTCCTTCTGGAGAATATTTTTACCTGTGTCTTCATGAAAAGTAAAAGGACAACTCTAGTGAAGCTATTAAATCTCACATTTTGACTGCCTGTTGAGGTTCAAATTCCTCAACAAGAATCATGTGCAGTGAGGATATTGGAAAGCAAAATAGTGTCATCTTTTCAATGGTGGAAGGTGAATGACCAGTCATAATAAAAGATATATTGTCTGCACAGCTTTAGCATCTAAATCTCTTCTTTATTGATGTTTTTTTGCAGCATGAAGAAAGATTGCAATGTTTCGGAACCACACAGGGTCCCTTTATCAGGCAAAGCCTCAAGTCATAGGTCACGCAGATGGAATGAGAATTTACAATGCTACTCTATCCCTAACTTCCAGCCATAGCCCAAATCCTTACTCCATGGCCCTAGCCGAATTGTTGTAGACAATTTTCAAAATTATAGTTGACATAGAAGCTGGGGATATAAATTACATAACTACATATGTTGTTTTTTTGTTTACAGTGCACTGCTGTTTTTGTTAGATATGTATAGTGTTGTATAGAGGTCCAGCAGGCACTGGCATCAAACCGCCAATTAAATGAACCCAATGTAGTAAAGAATCAGGAATCCAAGGAAACATTTTTGGGTTTGGCAGGGCTGCTTGGCTTCCTATGTCCAGCTATGGGTGCCACTTTACTGTGAAATTCCCCAGGACTACTACTAGCCAGTTCTCTACAGACTACAGAGTTTCAGTGGAGATCCTATAGGATGGTGGTGATGGTTCTAATGCTACCTCCTGAATCAGTGCAAACAAAAGCACAAAATATAAAAACATGTTAACACTCACATGTTAGAAATAATAAGTACCCGGTTCTCCATTTTCTTCTTACTGTTGACAGAAGAAAAGAAAAAAAAACATAAAACAAATCAAAGTTTAAAGTTGAGGTTGCAACTTAATAGATCAGGCAACCCTAGAGCACTTTCTTCATACTGACCCATCATTAATGCCTCCTTCATTGATGGGGATGTTATTGAGATCTGTGAGCTTCAAGAAGTCCTCATTGAAGTAGTAGAGCTGAAGGATGCAGGCCAGGAGGAAGGAGGAGGGCAGCAGTATGCCAGCAAATAGCTCCACGGTGCTGTACTGCTCCAAGCCAATGTCCTTCAGGCTACAAGTTTATAAGGATATAAGCACACGGGTCAATGATTATAAACTTTAAATACAACCTCTATTTCTTCACTGTATGACAGAATAAGGGCTATTAATTGGCACGGGTCCTAAAATCAGCATAATGCAGCTTAGTAGGAAGTCAGTTGCAGGTCAGAAGGTCAACTGCAACTAAAATGCACCTGCCAACGAACTCGGAATGATCTGAGAAGCCTCTCAAACTGATGTTAGATGCAATCTAAATGTACCTGACAGCAAGTTGCAACTTTTCTTGTACATTGAGGGACATACAAAACTGTGGGCTAGTGCAAGATACCCCCGAACTGCCAGCAAGTTCAAGTTTTTTTTACTAGTGTCCTAGGAGGATGGATGTCTTTTCCTCGGCTCCACTGTGTAAAAGACTAACCTACTTTGGCCAGCACCATTTTTTTTTTCAATGAAGAATCTTCTCTACATGACTGCTAGAGCTGTTCTCTTTGAATGCAGCTTTCCAGCGCAGCCATCCTCAGCCTGGCTTTCGAGTACTGCATCTGGACCCAGCTGCATTGGAGGTTGTGGGCTACAGGAATTGATCTGCATGCACCGGGTTTTGTGTAAGATCATTTCTAGGCTCCATTCAGGTAACAAGGTAGCCACGGAGCACTTTTCAGGTTCAGATTCATTGGCATTACCTCAACACTTGTCCTGTCTCTGAATACTTACTCCGTGAATAGGCTGGGAGGTACCTCATTCGCTGTGGCTGCTGGTACATCAACCATACGGATAGACATCAACCATAATGGAGGAACCAGAAGTCTCGCCAAGGAAAGAGAGGTAGAGAATTTCATACCTGGGCAAAAGTTATTGCTCCAGCCAGCTTTTTACAGACCAGGTGTGGACAAGCAGCAGACAGACTTCTTCAGCTAGCAGCATCTAGATCTAGGGGAGTGGTCCCTACACCTAGAGGGTCCTCAAAAATTGCATTAGGGATATATCGTTAGTTTAGGTGCAGGTATCTTTCTGCAGAGTTTTGCAAAAACATGTCCAGGATTTCACAGAATGTGCCAATTGCTTCCTTACAAATATTTCCATCCTTTCCTAGTTCCTAAATTTACACTCCACATAGCCTTATTTATCATTTATCTTTATGTTGGGAAACTGTTGCCCTTTTTAGAGCTGCATATTAATTGCCAAGTAAAATGTAAAGTTTTTCCCTCACCCTTCCTCCGACATGCCCAAGATCTGGAGAAAAAACCCAGAAATGGTCTTGAACTGATAGACATAGACTGCAATGAGGACCACCATTGAATAGGAAACCACAGTAATCCAAAAATACTTCAGGATTCTCCTCCACCATTCATAGTGAATCTAAAAACGAAAGTGGAAAATTAACTGCAAAATCTGAAACTTGCTTTGTGTGTGCAAGTAGTATATGGGGTAAATCGTAAAATTTTTTTAGTCCACTTATAAAAGGCAAGCGAAGGAAGAAGCAAAAGAGCAGGTTAAAATAAAAGCCAACTCCACTCACACATTTCAGACGGTTTCTACACAACTTCAAGAAAGAGACAGTAATGGGTGAAGTAAGGAACTCGTGGTAAAACATAGTGGGGAGACCGGTGGTTTTCACATTGTTTTCAGACATAAATGGCCCACTTATGACTTAGTTTGCCATCAACAGCAGACCTTGTAGGAGATTTCCCCTTCCTTAAATGGATACTGTTAACCAAAAAAAATATTTCCCTGACCGCTCCATATCAGCACACAAATGGGAGAGCTCTGCCTCCCCACCACTCTGATAGGCTCTTAACTCTCATAAAAATGACACCTCCAGCAGCATCCAGCGTTCCTTTTTTTTCTTCCTCTACCGTCTGTAGGAGTAGGGAATGGTCGCCTTACCTTGCTGGGGTAAAGCCCTGGCTGTCCGCCCTGTCTACGTCCCTGGAAGTACTGGGAGCAGTCCCCTTGGTCGTCCTAAATGGGGGTAATGGGGGAGCCTTGCTGCTGGTTTTCAAGGCCGTCTCCCGAAAGGTCTGTGTATCCGGGAGCGGCTTCGTGCAGCGGCAGAACGCAGACGCGTTACATCCTCTCTCCTCTAGATGCAGATCACCCTCTAGAGAAAGTTTCGTGTCTCGTCATCCTCGTCAAGCACGGTCCCACTCTCAGGATCGTGCTCAAGCTTCCAGAAGTCATGATTCCTCCAGACGTCGTCCGCCCCAGCCGGAACAGTGCTGGACATGCCAGAATAGAGCCCTTCCAGGCAAAACGGCATGCGAGTCCTGCTTTGCTGATGCCACCAGGAATAGGGGAAAACCATAGCCTGCAAGTGATCGCCTTAATGAAACAGGTGTTTCAGGAATCCCTGCAGGAGTCTGCTGCTGCTATTCGGGCAGGAGATCTGCAGGAGGCATCCACCTCGGCGCATGGAAGACAGGAGGTGGAGCGAAGTTCCCATAGAGAGGCTCCGTAGCGAGTCCAGGTGTCCGACTCAAAATTTCGGTCCTCGGACAATGAGGAAGAGGAGCCGGATGGCTTTGACTTTACATCAGTGCCTTCATTTATAAAGGCTGTGAGGCACGCTCTTCTATGGGAAGATGATGTGGTGGAACCTGACCACAAGCGGAAGTTTTTCAAACACATTAAGAAAGAACCCTGTACTTTTCCATTCTTCGAGGAGATTAAAGATCTCATCTTTAGCATGTGGAGTGCAAATCTCGGAATGCGTAACCGTTTTGCGAAATTATACCCCTTCAAGAAGGATGAAGTTAAGTACTTGGATGAATCTCCAGTAGTTAATGCCGCCTTAATGAGGCTGGCGAGGCATGTAACACAGCCCCTTGATGATGCGGTAACCTTCCGTGATGTCCTAGATAGGCGCATCGATCTGTTTTTAAAAAAGGTATACCTCACGGCCGGGAATGGCTGTAAACCAGCCATGGCCTTAGCAGCGACCTCAAAGGCCCTTGAGGTTTGGGTGACGGAAGCTGAGACAGCGATCTCCCGCGATCTCGGTAAAGCTGAGATTATGGAGTCTCTCAGGTACATCAGACTTTCCTCAGCCTTTGTTTCAGAAGCAGCAGTGGACCTTGTTCGCTCAATGGCTCGAATCATGCTATCAGCAGTAACGGGTAGGCGAGCCCTTTGGCTACGACCCTGGGTCGCGGACCTGACCTCCAAGCAGGGATGGTGCAAGATCCCCTTCGAGGGTCAGTCCCTCATTGGGAACAAGTTGGAAACGGCCATCTCTAAAGCCACAGGAGGGAAGTCCAGCTTCATCCCACAGGACCGGCAGCTTCTTTGCCAGAAGAATGCACGCTTCAAAGGCCGAGCACCGCGATTTAATAGGGACACAAGGTCCTACAAGCCTGGGAAGGAGTAGCGCAGGCCATGGAAGACCTCAGGAGCTAGAGCCAAGAGGACCCCCTCGACCTCAGCTCCTGAGGGCCCGAAGTCCTTTTGAAAATTTGCCCGCCCCTATCTGCCTTGTGGGAGCCAGACTCGCCAGGTTCCGGCAGGCTTGGGTGGACAATGTGAAGGACCAGTGGGTGGGTGTCCACCATTTCGGTCGGACATATGTGGAGGTACCCCCTTGGTACTCGCTTCTCAGGGAGCTGACTGTGAACGGGCCATCTCCCCTGCCGCTGTCCAGAGATCTGCTGACGCAGGGCCCATTCTTCCACCCGGCACCCGAACGCCTCTGTCTGATGGCCTGGATGTTGAGAGGCAGCGGTTAGAGGACCAGGGATGTTCAGCCACTGTCGTGTCTACACTGCTTAAAGCCAGGAAGGCAAGCACCAACAAGTCCTACAATAGAGTATGGACTAAGTTTGCAGAGTTTGCATCCCAACAGGGATTCTCCCCAGAAGCCTCTCGGGTCACGCATATCCTTGATTTTCTACAGAGGGGACTCGACATGCAGTTGAGTTCCAGTACTCTCAAGGGACATGTGTCAGCTCTATCTGCCTTTTGCGGACAGGGTAGTGTTGGTACCCATGCTCATAGATGACTCTCGGAATGGCTGTATGATTTGTGAACAACAGGTCTGGTAGATATGGGGGTATCAAACAATCCAGTGAAACCGTGAGGTGCATGCAGTAATGGAGAAAAAAAACTACACAAAATTACAGACTGTAATTTCTTGGTGATACTTCTATGGTTTCTGCTCTTAGGAACCCCTTGTGCCCTGGTCACCCAAGATCTACTGCACTGCTTGACTCACTTTGTACAAGGCCACACAGAAGAGAAACAGCACAATGTAAAGGATCTTGAACACCACCACCTTGCCGCTGAAACTGACGACGAAAAACATGACACCACAGAAGTAAATCCAGTACTTTCCCAGGACACCCCGCACCAACAAGCCCACCATCTCCATGAAAGCATTTGGGGGTTCTTCTACCTCTGCAGGTATATAAAAAAAAAAGAAGTACATATTAGGTCACGTTAAGTTAAATTCATAAGTAGCACAATGATAGGGATCTTTATTTAGCCATGTGGCTGTACATTTCCAACTCTCAATGGATACAGCAGAAATAAATTGTCACTTTAAAAAAATAAAATAGGGATCCTTATACTCGAGCGTTAGCTTTGTGAAATGACATTCATATATAGATCAATGACCAATGGCACAAAAGGGATATGGAGCACAAAAATTGATGCTCCTACAGAGACTGAGGAAAGTACTATGTGTCTCTGCAGATCAAGGTCTATATCTCTTTCAGCTCTGAAGAAAAGGCTGAATGGAGGACAATATAGACAGCTCATCCTCCATTCTAGTTTTCACAGCCAAGACAGATTGCAGCAAATAATCATTTAGTAAGTCTACATTTTGTGTAGATTCTACAGAAAATTGATATTTTAGCGATCAATGGACACTTGTGGGCTATATCACAGAATGATTTTATATAAATCTTAAGAACTATTGTTGCCAGTCCATATGGTCTGCATTCTCGCCTCTGCCTACAACTAAGACATTAACATTCTGTATAATGTCAGATGAATAGAAAATATTTTAGGGGAGAATGAGACAGACATTCTTATGATTAAGGCATCATAAGGAAAGATCTGGGAGGTCAAGTGCAGGGTTCTCACTATTGTAGTCCTCAAAAAGGTGTTGTTGCAAAATACCAGTATGGAGCAGACTTTATCTTAATTTAGTTTAGTAGGAAAAAGAATATGTAGCTAAAGGGTATCACTGTAAAGTATAAAATGTTATCTTTATCATAATAGTTCATTTTTAAAACTACAGTTTTCATGTCACTGTTTAAACTACAGTTTTTTTTTCTCACCCTGTCACATGCGCTTCTGGTGGAGACTCATGCTCCCTGCTGATTGAAGAGCTTTAGCTCTGACTCAGCAAGGGGTTAGACTGCTGCAGCAGAGAGACCTCTGCTTCCACAGAGCAAGGGTTCTCTTCTGCAACATGCTAGTAGGAGACTCAGGCTGGGCGGATTTCTAAAGAAAATAAACTTCAAGACTTTGCATACCCTTTGTGTTTTTGAACCTCGAATGTAGCGCTGCATGACGGAATAAATGTCAGTTAAAGTACCGCAGCGCTGAATACTGAAAAATGGCCTGGATGGGAAGGGGGTTTAACACCGCGGATGTCAACTGGTTAATATGTGTATAAAATTCTACTGAAAATTACATTGATAATCTCCTTCTAAAAGGGATCTGTTGTGTACTTACCACTTTCTCCAACTAAAACCTCTTTTAGGGATTCTTGATCTCCTTCCATTTGCCGCTCTTTCAAGTTCTGCCGCAAAAGTACCCAAAATACCAGAGCATAGAAGATCTGAAAGAAAATGATTCACTGCTAACACAATGCTATTTTACCTCTTAGACAAAACCAAGAAAAGTCATACTTATGATAAGGAGAGTTCCTCGCCTCACCTTTAGACCAAGGTGCACACATGGCATTGAATATGGCTTCAGATCAAAGTCAATGAGGACAGCTGTAGGTATGCCAGGGAACAGCTCTTCTTGGGAGATATTGAGACCCACAAAAAAGTTTTGGATGACCAGAATGTTGGCATAGGAAGCCAAGAAAGGAGCACTTAGCATGGCATAGCGGCGGCGGTCCCTCATCATCCATATAACACAGGACCATAATAATAGAACAAATGTTAACCAGCTGTTATGAGTTATGCTCCAAATCTAGAAAATTAATCAAAAAACAGAAGTAAATATTCAAAGCACAACAGAATAAAAATCATTTTAAAATAAATTAATTGCAACAAACTGTTTTGCAAACTTTCAAAGAATAATTTCTAAGCAAAGACAAAATTCTAGCAGTAGCAATACCTAGTTACTTGTGTCTGCATGTGTTTTTTCAATGCAATGTTAGGTATAATATTTATCACATCCGTTGCAACCCTCTATAAGCCTAAAGGTCTTCTAGTTCGAGATTTAATTGTGCTTTGGGGACAACATTAGCTATTGCAGATTACAGTTTGACCCAAAATTGGGGACATACAAACGAAATGGTTACAAATCAATGCAGATGCTGGGCCCTGCTTTTTAAATTTCAGTGCAGGTAAACCCCAAAGCTGGCTGCTACAACAAAGAAATGCCTAATGGGCATGATGTGTTATGTTAGTTTACCTATTTTTAATGATCTACTTCAGGAATCCTTGTTGCTGAATCGTGGACCTCCAATAGTTACATAGGTTGAATAAAGACACAGGTCTATCAAGTTCAACCTATGTGAGAGAGTGTGTGTGGTGTGTGTGGGTGTCTGTGTGTACTAGTCATCCAGAATACCTGTCCCCCTGTATGTTTTGTTCTCTGGGGAAAGTATCTAAACCAGGGGTGCCCACAGTTTTCCATCTGGAGATCTACTTTTCAAATGACGAGCTCAATGAGATCTACCAGCGAAAAAACACCTTTATTTAGAAAACAAGAACATTAAAATTGCTACTGGGACTACTGCCTCTCTCGCGCTCTCTCTCCTTTCTCTCTCTGTGCTGGTTCACACCACAAAGTCTGTGTTCCAGAGTGCTTGGCCTCTGGAACGCAAGCCAGCCAGCTCCCTGCATTTAGGGGCGGGAGGGGGTGTGGCAGTGCATTGAAGTCAATAGCACTGCAGTCACGCCCCTTGCCCGCCGTGCGATCACCCGCACCCAGAACCCCGCCCCTTCCCGTCTGCAGCTTCTGACTAATTCAGCCGCATGATCACCGCGGGATGACAGGACACAGGTCAGTGAGCCGATCGTGGTCTACCAGGGTTTGCTTTGCGATCTACTGGTAGATCGCGATCCACCGAATGGGCACCTCTGATCTAAACAGTTCTTGAATGATTCAATACTCTGCCCTGATACCACTGCTTGTGGAAGAGTTCCACAAATTTACTGCTCTAAGAGAAAAAAAAAATCCACTACGCCCTCTGTGGTTAAACTTTTTTTCCTCCAATTGTAGGTGGTGGCCTCTTGTCTTCTTTAGTGAATTTACAGAAAAAGATTAATGGTGATGGTAAAAATCAGTAATAAACGGTTTGTACATTACAATCAAATCCCCTTTCAATCTCCTCATTTCCAGTGTGTGCAAGTTTACATTTTTTAATCTCTCTTCAGAACTTAGGTCCTCCAGCCCCTTTATCAATTTTGTTGCCCTTTTTTAGACTCTCCCCAGTTCAAAGGACATCCTTTTTGTGGACCGTAGACCAAAATTGAACTGCATACTCTAGTTGAGGCCGGCAAAATTAAAGTGGCAAAATGATTGCTTTGTCTGTAGAGTACATACCCTTTTTATGCATGATAGTACTCTGCTAGCTTTGTTTGCTGCAGCCTGGCATTGCATACTATTGCTAAGTCTGCAGTCAGTAATGACCTCCACATTTGTTTGCACTTCTGATTTCCCCAGTGGAATTCCCTCTAACATGTAGTCTGCATGCCTTTTTTTTTTTGCAGAAATAGTCAGATCTAGAGAGCTCGGGCCGGCCGTTTTTTTACTACGGCCGGCCCGGAGGTGGTTAAAGATTTTCACAGACAATATATTGTAAAAAGACATACAGAAGGCAGCAAAAGGTGAGCAATACTCAAAGACACACCATATCATTACTTAAAACCGCAAGTATATATGACAGAGGACCCTTGGATGGGCTTAACCCCCAGTCAAACTACCCACCCCCACAGGGGAATTCACTGATGTATGCCTATGTTTAACACCAAAATGTATTACTTTAAATTTTTCAACATTAAACTTCATCTGCCACGCCCCTATTTTATTTAGGTCATCCTCTAATGTTGTTACATCTAGTCTCAAATTATGACCCTGCAAACTTTCGTATCATCAGCAAAGACCGAAATATGGCTTTTAACACCTCCCCCAATATCAATAATAAATAGGTTAAAGAGAATCGGGCCTACCAAAGAACCCTGGGGCATGCCACTCCCAACCTTAGACCATTAGAAAATGAGCCATATAGATACTCTCTGGACACATTCCTGCAGCCAGTTCTCTATCCAAGTACACACCGTTTCATCAATGCCCATTGATTGTCGCTTGCATATTGTATATTTTTTTATACAGTACATATAGTTTTTCTAGTCTTTGTCGAACCCAGGCTACCGTGAACAACTGCAGAGTATTACGTAGGAAGCTACTCAACATTCTTCTCATATCCATTAAAATCATATTTTCCGTATACAAAATATATCACAACATCTTACCATCATTGCAATCAGTGCACTGACATAGCTCTGCCGCATGATAAACTGACCCAGCACAGCAATCCCGCCAGGCTTTTTCTCTGGTGTATCAGTCCCTTCTGTTTCTACGTTTTCTAAACAATAAAATAATAATACATTTCTAAATAATTAAAAATAAAAAAAAAGTGTAATATATCACACATGGTATATGCATAATAAATAAATATATACACGAGTTCCAGCAGTCTCAACAAAAGAGAAGAGTCTCTCTCGACAACAAAACGCCCCTACTACGAAGACACTAGCAAAAATCTAAGGCATGCTGGTAGGGGATTATCCTGGGCTTGCCTGCAGTTTCAAATCCTTTTCTGGGCTGCAGTTAACCCGAATGCCTCATTCACACTAGAAAAGGCCGGCACGTAAAGCTTCGTGCTGCGTGCACGGCTGTATCGGACAGCTCCCAGGAAGGACAGGTGCTGCGTGTGATTAGTGCACAGCCCCTGTCCTTCTCTATGGGACTACGCAGCCATACGCCGCTCTACGCTCACCCCAAGTGCAGGTCCGTACGGGTGCGGGTGTCACGGCTCGGACGCAGACCAAATCCATCCTGTCAGCGTACGAGTACGGACACTCGCACGGACATGCAAGGCAGGTGAGCGTAGGGCCGCGTCCTCCTATAGAGAAGGACAAGGGCTGTGTTCTAATCACACGCGGCACCTGTCCTTCCCGGGAGCTGCCTGATACGGTCGTGCACACAGCACAGAGCTGTACGTGCCGCCTTTTTCTCGTGTGAATGAGGCCTAAAAGGTTTAAGAACTCCTGTGCCTCCTGAGGGAAAAAAAGTCTCTCTTTGTGCTTGAGGGAGGGAGGGAGGGGCAGAAAAAAAAAAAAAAAAATCTTATGAGAATAAGCCCTGGCTATAGGAAATTGGAGACTAGGTCCCTCTCTTTTTTACTCCACTTTATTGCCCACATGCAAATAGAAAACACCTAAAAGTCTGTCTGTTTTAAAGGACTTTTCCCTGTACAGACCATATGCTACTTTGTCTGTGCAAGAATGGTATTCCCATTATGGTTGCATATCAGTATAATTTTTTATTATATACTAGGTTATCAATTGTCTTCTATAACATAAATAGAACTGAGAGTAACTATCCTAAAGAAACCTGTACAGCTGAAGTATGAAGTGTGTCACTGCTGACCTGCCATTCTGGAAATACTAGCTACCAGGCTGTTAATGTAGATCCAGTGGCCTCAGTACTACATCAATGAGCTGCCACAAATAGGCAGATTAGGCTGTCTGACTGTCCTTTGAGTTTCCTGATCATTTGTTCTGGATTAGTGTCTTAGAAATTACTGAAGAAACCATTAAGCCATGCAGATAGCTTTTTCAGAATACAGTCAGCCTTGGTGGCCCTTTTATTTGTCTCAGCAGTGGAAAGTCAGTCTTAAAGAACATCCCATTCAGGATGGTAGAGCACCTTGCTGATGCAAATTACTATACTTGAACTGGTGCCTCTTTCGACATTTTCAGCAATCACATTTAATATTTGGGGGTACTTCAAAGGCTAGTAAAGATCTCATACTGACCTGATTCATCAGGGTCCTCTACCTCTTCAATGTATATGGGTACTGAGAAGTCTGTGTGTGCTTGCTGTAATTCACATTTTAACAGAGGTAATTCTTGCCACCCATTAGGCATCAGATAACCAGGCTGTAGTTGGGGAAAAATATAAGTCAGCAACCAATCACCATTCACAAGCTTAAAGCAGTTAGAACAGTAAACATGATGGTCTACTGGTTGGCTGTAAGTTGCTACCTCTTGCATCTAGGTTCTTGGTTTGTTAAAAAGCCAATTTTTTGTCTTAGTTAAACCACCATTCATAAAATGACGACCACCATCCCTGCAAGATATATACTGTATATAGTCTACACAACCATGACACAAGCAGACAGAAGCACTCACTTGAATCAGCTCAGCATTGGTGGTCCACAACATTCCATCCATGTGCTGTTGGTCGCTAGTGGGCTTTTCTTTCTTGATAGCAGGATCCTCCTGAGAAAAACAAGTGGATTAAATTAAACTGGACTGTGTGTGCTGCATGTGATCTTCTCTTCCTATCTGTTCTTTAGAACTAAAGCTAACCATAAACATCAGATGATCGCTGCCCAATCTGGTCAATGGTCTTGGCTACTGGTAGCAACAGACCTCGAAAAACACATTCAGCCAATTTCAAGGGATTGGCTGATTGTTAGAAACCTTTACCCAGATAGCAAGCAATTGAGCTGCAAGTTATAAAATGACTTGCTAAACTATTGCAGACTTGCCAAGCTTCACAATTGTGTGGCACAATTACAGCAAGTCTGCATTGCAAGTCTCCAGATCAACATGTTTTACAAAAGTACTGTACACTTGCAGAGCTCTTGCCAAGACCCCCAGGACTCTTGCTGTAGACTTGCCAAGCAAATTTGCTACAAATTCAAAAAGTGTCAACTAGAACTTGTGCTGCAAGTGTTGTGCAAGTCTACAACTTGCCAGGAATGTGTGCAGCAAGTTAGAAAGAATTACAATTTAACCCTGCCACAAGTTTGTGGCAAGTTATGCTTGCTATCTGGGTAGCAGACTACTATTGTTTCTGTAAAATAGGACATGCCTGAACTTCCCCCTCCATGAGTATAAATAACAGACTCTATTAGTGGCCGGCAACTTAAAGAGGAACTTTACCCATAACTTTAAAATAACAACAAATGCACCTTTAGAAATATTTAGTAATGACAATCTACAAACACATACTTTAGTTAATTGCCAGCTTTTTATTCTTTGCATACCTTTGCGTTTCTTCTGACAGTGGCCATTTTTTTTTTACTAAGGGCAGATGGATTAATCTCCCTTTACTTTCCAGAACTCTGGCACATGTTACTAGGACATGTGACCATGCAAATCATCTCAGGAGAGGAAAATGCCTTTCCCTGAGATCTGAGATTATAGATGTAATCTTCCCAGGATGCAATACTTGGGCACGTTACATCACTTTTGCCAAAAAGACCCAGGAAGTAGAAAACAAGAAAATTTAAGTAAAATACAAATATGTTTGTTTATTGCAAGATTATTTCATATCATCATGTAGAGTTGCACGCTGATGTGATTTTTAGCCAAAGGGGGTAAAGATCCACTATAAAGCTGAAGTACAGGCAAACCATAACCAAACTACACAGTTGAAACATATATGGGAGCCGTTTTACTTGTTAAAAAGATTTTCAGTTCTGAGATTTACACCACCTTGGCAGACAGCACGACCGGTCGTCTGACTCTTGTCTGTAGCAGGAAATAATTACATAGAGGTCACCTACTTGCACCCTGCCTGTGACTGGACAATGAAGGAGAAGCAGCAGACGGATGAGCCCATTATTCAGCTTTCTTCTCTTTTTCTAGTGTTTCTTATGATCCTGTGTGCATTGAGCACACCTAATTGGCTCCTAGAGCTACCCCTCCCTCTCCCAGTCTGAGTTACACTGGGATTACAAGATGCTTATATTAGTCACATTCTAGTACTTTCGTTATCTGCATTTAAAAATATATTGTATTGTTTTTGTTCAAGAAAACATAACTGTAATACTTGGTGTGTTTTTTTTAGCTGCCCAGAGTAAACTTTTATCTACTGCAGGATTTCTCTTGTGTATGCCAATTAACCTTTGTCAGTGCCCTCCCCCCTTCCCAGTAAACTCAATCATATAGCTTACATCTGACTCCATCAGTAACCCATAATACCCAGTGCAAAAGCTTACAAAATTGTAGGTAAAAGCACAAAAAAAAAGAAGGTTTATTAAATGCTTACTTGAAGTGCTTCTCTTTTCCATAAATCATTTTTTTTTTCACTTGCAATGTGCCTTTGAATTTGCTAGAAAAATTGACTTGTCAGTTCCCTAGCAAAGAGCCGTACTTCCTCGCATATCATAATCCTTTCTTCTTCTCAGAGACAAATGATTACTCTCTGCATTGGCCCAGCTCCTCTGCCCTTTCCCACACCTCCCTACATAACTTTTTATGTAGCTGCCAGGGAAGGGGCGTAAGGAAATACTATAGAGTGAGTGAGTGAGAATAAAACCCTTCTCCATAAACTATTGTAGAAAACTACTACTAATAAGTTGGCAACTTGCCACAATCAAAATCTCCCATAACATACCACTGGAAGATGGGCCCACTGCTGCAGTAACATGACCAATGTATAGTACAAAATAAGTAGCATAAATGGGTTTGTGAAGATGGCCCAGTGCAGTCCTTGATGAAGATGGATGACCCATGATTCTGTCTGATTAGTTCTGATAATGGCCGTCATTCCGAAAAGCCTAACATGGCAAAATGGACAACAAATGAGCTGCTGATAAATAGACAGTCAAAAAAGATCTTCAAAACCAAACATTCGGGTCCTCACCTAGCAAACAAATCCTGAGGTGGGATAACTTCTTGAAAGTACGGGAGCTGATAGAGGTAAACCGCTGTCAAGTGACCAGCACTGAAGATGGCTGACATGACACAAAGGCTGCTAAAGACCACCAGGCTAATACTGCGGTTACAAGCCCACCATGAACATAAAAACATGAAGATAGAGAAATACAGGGCAGAGGTCACAGAAGGCAGAATGATGCCTGAAAAACATAAAGCAAAACAATTACAGCATTTACAAGTAAACAGCACAGGTTCTACAATAGGATTGTCACCCTGATATTTATACGAAAGTGGTCAAATTACTGCAGCAGACACGGTTTCTAAAAAAAAATGCCTAATACAGATTTCCTGCCTGTGTTTACTTTGCGGCATAGCAGGCAGTGACAGGGTTTCTTTAAGCAGTTTGAGTGGATGACTTGCAAATCACCAACATGTGCTATGACACTGACAATGGGAGATAATGTTATACTGGTGCTTAGGAAATTGCTTGCCTAAGGGTGCCTTTATGATCTCTTTTCTACTAAACCATTTTTGCTGGCCAAGTGACAACCCTACTCATGCTCCATTCTAAAGGGACAGGTCGTCCCACAGAGTAGGTATCTAGCAACAGTTTTCTTCATAGGAATCAGAACGACCGAGAACAAACTGCATTAAACTTAAAGGCTTTCAACATTATTTAGACCAACTGTTGGTAAAAAAATAAATGATGTTCAATAGATATTTGGGCCTGTAAAAGCAAAATTAAATCTGCCATTGACAACATATTGTTTTAGTAAGTTCCAGGCAACATAATATAGATTATTCACAATGGAATTTGATCAAAATCATGAAGTACACCCTCAAAAGAAGTTTCATATACCTACCAGACAAGCCCAGGAGAATGGTGACCACCACCTTCCCAGCAGTAGTAAAGAGGGCTTCAAACAACAGCTTCATTGCAGCAACTAAGGATGTGATCTTCTCAATCAACTTTGCCCGAGTGTCATTGGCATCCTTTTCAAGGGTTTCATCATCTGTGGAGAAATCTGTCTCATTCCCACTCTCCTCTGTCTCACTCTCTGTTTCAGACTCCTGTTGGAAAGAAAAAAAATATTTAAAACCTAGACTGAACATCTGGGAAGTCGACGTTCCTATGGGGAATTCTCGTCTTTCCCTTGTTTCTTTTTAATCTTTTCTCACAATCTACTAGCAGTAAGGTCACAGGGAAATAGGAGTGTGTCAATGCATGAATATAACTGAACCTTTGTCACTTTAGGTATGAGAATATACCATAAAGTCCACATGGTGGAGTAGAACGTCCCTACTGCTTTCCAGCCTGTGTTTCACTGTAGTGTACATGTGCACCACTTTTCAGATGGGACCACTAATGGCTTTCAGCATCCATGCTAATACATGTAGTAGTCTTCAACTCATGTGAGGTAGCTTCTAAAAGGGCAGTGACTCTTCTCATGACAACTGACAAACATCTACAAACTACAGTGTCTCCATTCCACTGTGTCTCCATTTTACACCAGGCCAGTAAGCAACTGCAAACTGTTTTTCCCTATAGCAATTAGCACACACTCATTGAAGACAAACCACCATTTGCTAACCTTCAATTGTTGAGTACTCCCAAGTCCATGGTTATACATTATATCCAATTTTTATTACACAACTGCAGACACATAATAATTCTGCAGTAGGTTTCTTTCACAAGATGAGACTATATGGGATGCCTGTTCTTTTCTGCTTAAATAAGAACTCTGTAACTCTATTTCAACTGCACACAGGTTGCATGCATGGCATAACAAGCAACAAACACTGGGAGTTAGTTGACTGAGCTGTAAAAATAATACAACGCGAGACTTTAGGTGAAACGACCCGGAGAATTACCACAAGCTGTTCTGCTGTCTATAAATGCCCTATATTAGGATTATGAGGATACTGGGAATGTAGATGAGGCTCATGACAATAATGAGGGAGAGGTCAGGAAGAAACAGTAGTGAATTAATATTGAAGGTATTGCTTTGTGATCTTCCACAGCATGCAGAGCATGAGTCCCATCGTTTTTTAGCATTGTCTGGCAGTTTGCTGCTGCGTAGATGCTCTAGCTTAACCTGAACAAGTCACCACATCAATGGGACATGACTAAAGCAACTGTTGGATTTGCTCTCCATGGCCAAAGCACAGCCGTCACTTTGAATTTAACCAAATAAGTCTGTGTAGTGTTCTCCATCGCTGGTGCAAAAGCATGGCATGGTTTCTGAACAGCTACATGTGTGGCCAAATCTTCGCCAGCCCACATGGATAGAAAATGTGTAGTATTGTAGTAGGTCACATTGTTCATGGGATTCATTTAAGGACATGTATTCTAGTTAGTACTGCTAGGGTTATGTACTAAAGTTGCCTTACCTCGTCCTCCTCCTCTTCCTCACTGCTGACACGGACGCTAAGTTTAGGAGCTCTCGATCGTACCAGCTTCTTACAGGTGCTTCGGATGAAATACCCAGAGAAAAACATCCCAATGTCTGAGGAAAGAAGGCGGACAATGTTCCAAGGGTCAACATTGGCGAGTCTGGAAAACAGGAAGAAATAAGCGACATCCTAATTATTATTATGATGAAGAGCAATTGCTGCATTGCATAATATCTAGGAGGATGGTATTACTGACCACTCCTTTTCAAATTGTTAGTTGCCAGGCTGTCCAATACTGATCCAATGACTTTAATATTTTGTGGCACTGACCTAAAACAAGCACGCATAACAGGAGTTCTGGTTTTCATCTGCATGCTTATTCCAGGCCATCAAGCAAGCCAGGCAACTAATATTCTTAGAAGGAAGTCAGCAATGGCATCCTCCATATCCCTCAAAATTTCCTTTCACCACCTGTCCCAGTGACACCCATCTAGCAGACAGAGTGTGGGAACATTTTCCAGTAAGGACACAGATAGCAATAAGAAACATACAGTGCTTTCACCTAAATTTACCACAAAGCATTTTCTTTATATTTCTTCAATGAGTGCATAAAATACTTGATGAACTTATCAAGAGATTCAGAGCTGAGCAGTATCCTATTCACAGTTACTGTGGTATATGAAGGAACCTCATTAGCTCTCCCAGTTCTTATTTTATTATACAGAACAATTAATTCCTATGTTGTAGCAATGAGAGGGGGAGAGATTCAGTAGTTTTGAAAAAGATATCTAGAAAGGGCTGACACCATTTCAGTCTATATAATCCTGTGTGTTGTCAGACCACAACGGGATAGTAAGAGCTGAATGCATTTCCGAATGATCAACCGGTATTTTTCTGTACTTTCAGGGCCTTTAAATATATAAAACATGTAAATGTGCACAGAGATATATTGTATATGTTGTTTCTATATATTTTGCCTTGACATACCCTCTAAACCTTAACTCTCCCTCTGTAAATATATTGCTTCTCTGGGAGACCAGAGGTGACTGAGTAATTTCCGGATCAACTAGAGAACCACTTTAATATATGACATATAAATGTAAACATAGTGAAATATCTGCTGGATGAAATATTAGTACAGACACCTTTGTGTAATGAAGAGCGGTAAGATCATTCACATGCAATATTCAGAAAAATGGTTAATACACTAACTATGTCTTAATACATCTTTGTCTCACCTTACAATTCCAAAGTGTTCCAGTATGTCCTCCCAGAGGTAATCTGGAAAGAGCAGATCATTATTAAGAGCTCTTGAAAAGATCTTTGACCACACACAGACTTTTCTAGTGAAAAGCATTTTTTCAATGTCCATATAGATTTCCATCATATCAATGTTTTGCTCCATAAGGGTATTTAAAAAAACCACAACAATCTGAGATGCATAAAAATGTGTCCCTTGGCATGGATTGTGGCTTCCACAATATTTACAAATGCATGCAACTGAAACCTCTTATTAGGATGTGAGATATGGGTTTTAGCAGGGTGTCTAGCAGGGCTGGGTGCTGGGAGATTGTGTGCGTTTGGCCATACTATCGGTCTTATTCAACAAGACAAGGATAACACTTTGTCTTCAACTATATTTTAGTTCACAAATATCGGATTAGTAAAAGAGGACTAATTTGTTGCTAGAGGTTACTGCACTTAGTTTCTACTGCTGATAATTGAATACATGTGGGCAAGGAGCAATGTGATGTGTGCACTACTTCATAGTATCCAATCAGAACTTTTCTGCTTTAAGCTTGACTATACAAAACAGCTGCACTCTAATAGATCAAGACAATTTACTACACATTCTATACAATTTTTTTTAGTGGATAATAGATAAGATGACCATTCTCTCTCAATATAAAATGTTCAGTTTTAAAAGGAGACGGGTGCATCTATTGACCTCTGAAAATGCAAGGTGCCTCTGGATTCACTACTTGCAGAGACACTGATTTGGCACAAGTATGTAGGTCTGGAGATCACATTTCACTTGTAGCATACTTGTTCTCGATTGCTGACTTATAAAGCCATTGGATCAGATCTCAACCCTACCCAAAGCAAATCTTTTTTTACACCTCTGCTGTCCTCTATAACATTTACATGTCAGCAGCTTCAGGTTTACTTCTAATGTTTAGGCCAAGCCAGATAGTCAGTGGTTTGGTCTTAAACAGCTCCTGCCTTTAGAGGGAACTGGTCTTGGATACAAGCTCCAAAAAATGCATAATCGTTTCAAATAAACCAACTACAGGAATCTATAATTTTACATTGCTATCTACTCTCAGGAGTATATAACTCATTCATGGAAAGTGTCAAAAACATGCAAAGTGCTTGTGTTGCCATTACATGTTAATGGAACCCCAAACGCGGCCCATCAAAAGCGTTGTTGTCCCACGGTTTGTACATGTTAAAAACACACAAGAAAAAAAAATGTGGGATGCCTGTAGCAGATTTTGCTGCATGAGCAACTTTTTGCACGCATGTGGCACCCACTGAAATCAATGGGGCGGGGTGGCAAATGTGAGGAAAAAATGCCCACGAACCTGCATTCCCTTTACGCAATGGTGTGAAAGGAGACTTAGGCTAAGGTATCAAGCTCAGAAAAAAAAAAACAAATCTGAATAACTGGAAAAACATACATTATGTGTAACCCTGTGCATATATAATAGTTTAAGAGTGAATGTTCATAATTTTGTCTATATCCAAACATACAGTAAGTGGTTCTCTTTAACATGTTTACAACACAACCCCTGCCTCCCCACTTCCACGCAGGTCTGTTACCTTTGGGTACATAGTTGAATGCAATTTGGAAAGAGGACTGTATGATGAGAAGAAGGAAGCTGGTATAGTATGTAGTCTTTAAAAATCGTCCAGTGTGCCCTAAGAAAGAAACAAAATCATCAGATACAATATCATCACACCGAACATTCAGTATTGTCTCAGTGACAAATGGTCTGAAGGACAAATACAAAGGGTAAAACTTCCTAGTTGGAATACAGACAGCAATAAACATTTGAAAGGAGTTCTATTTCTTCTCCAATTAATCCAAACTAAAAGGGAAAGTTTGGGCTATAAAAAACACTTTAAACCTGCACTTTGTACATACTAGCTTTAGTAAGTATTGTATAGCATGTACCATATAGGCTCTGCTCCAACCATGTTCCAAGCTGCCTGCCGCCCCGCGAGTCCCCTAAAAATCCTATGCAAATACTTCTGCTATTTTATGCAGACTGCAGGTTTACTGTAACCAGAGAATGCTAATCACATCCTTCTGGATATAATACAATAAGTGAAATATGGCATAAGAGAGAAGTTTTAAAAGTACCAAACATTACTGTCAGGTAAGTTCTACAACAGCTTTAATGTGTTTTCTCAAAAAATACTCTATAAAACTACCATCTAATTATATTTAAATTATTTAGAACTGTAAAACAAAGTTGTATGCATGCAATCATTACAGAATGTGACATGTAATACACAGAGTCCTGCATAGAATTGCTCATAATTTATTAGAGTGCAATACAGAAGGTGGAAAAGCATGCAGGCTATATGGGAATAATATAGACAGTAGAAGAGCTTACAATCTATTATGGTGCAATACTGAAGGTTGTAAGACATTACAATCAACAAATATAGAGGGCAGAGGAGCTTACAATTAACTTTGTAATCAGGGAACAATATAGAAGGACTGACACAAAGTGGGAGAGCATCCAATCTATTAGAGCATAAAGGAGCAACACAAAGTGACAAAAATGTACACTCTAAAAGGATATGTTAGTGCAATACAGAAGGTAAGTGGGCCTACAGTTTCCGCCAAGTATAGAAGTGAAAACAAATATGAGGGCTCCCAGTCTACTAGGCTGTAGGGAATAACAGAGAGGGTGGAAAAGCCTTATATTATTTATAGCATAAGGGAGAAACATGGAAGGTGGAACAACTTACTATTTATCAGACTACAAGGGAGCAATACGAATACAGTAAGCCCTATAATCTTTTATTGTATGAGCAAATAGCAGTACAGGAGCTGTAACAACTTACAGTCTTATAAATGAAGGACAGAGACGTTAAAAGAGCTCACAGTCTAACAGGTAAGAAGGGAGTGAAATAAAAAAGGCAAACAATACTTTGATCCATCCTTACAGAACACAAATAAAGCACCTGCAGACAACAGCTGTATAATATGAACACAATAATACATTTAAACTAAACTATTCAAGAACGAATAAGCCATTACTTCTAATAAATCCCTATTTACAGACACCTGCCTTTCATTGTGGCGTAAGATGGCTTTGACAGATGAGGAATGAGCATCAGGTAGATAAAATAGATGACCGAAAATCCATTGAAACGGATACATATTGCTGCAAGACATGAACCAGAAGAAGAGACATGAAGGGGGTTAATCTGTGTCTACGGAAATTGTTTCTGGTAATAACAGAGTGTTCCAGGTTTTTAGTTTCAGCTGCAATGTATATGCACGGGGGAAGCTGCTGAAAGCTATTGAAAGTTTATATACTTCCACATAGCTACTGAAGCTATTAATACGTGTAGTGTCTTATACACTAAAGAATATAACAGCAGTTCAAAATACATGCCAAAAAGACGATTTGTTGGAAAATTGTATTTTAGGAAAAAACAAAACAGACCATAACTCATTCAATACCCTCCTTCATCACTGTGGGTGTAGGTGGGTGTCAGAGCCCATGTTCCGCAGCTTTGGCACAAAAAAGGACATCCCATCTAGTCTGCCACCCCTCCAAGCACTAAAGGCAGTAGAGAGAAGGCAGAGATCCCGTTACTTTCTTTTGGATCAAAACACAGTAGCATACCCTTTGTCAACCCTCAAACATTCAGGCGATTTGCTAAAACAGACAAGCATTGCGCCCCCGATTTTCTGGTGCCCAGCAGGAGGGAGGAGGTGTGCTGCCACTAAGCTCACAGCACCCAAAGGCAAGTGAAGGAATCCCATTCAAATCCACTTATTCCAAAAACAAAAAATGTCCAATGGAAGTGTAAACTGCCCTGTTTTAAGTAAGCATGCTATAGCTCATGTTTGGGTACTCACTCATATTACATGATATTCTCCCCATCCACGGGTTTTTGAACACGATTATTAATAGAAACTTTCCAGAACATAAGAAAGATCAATGGAGGGAGGGAAAAGTCTTTATGCCAGGTTAGATCTCACCAGTTGATTACTATTGCTTCCAATGTGATGAGGACTGCCAACCTGTGCTGGACATGCAAGCTTGTCTGATAAAAGCATGGGTGCCTAAAATCCGCTCACTGAACACACATCTGGTCAGTGTCTATGTATTATTATGTAATATTGTTAATAACGTTTACAAAGAGAAAAAAAACTAGATATAAAAAAGAAGGACATACAGGCAAATATGAGAAGGACCTAGGAGCTTGAGTGTTTAGTACTTTCTTGCAGCAGTGGCGTCCTGTGTACAATTTCCACCAGGGCTATGATCTGCCTAGAGTTTATATGTTCTCCTTAGGTTTCTGTGGCTTTTGTTCTGATTTCTTACCTCCACAAACCAAAAACATAGTGGAATTAAAGAATTTATAAAAAATTAAATAAAACATAGTAGAAGGTTATTTGGTTTCTGAGTTATTTGCCCTAGAGTGTATAACTGTGCCAGGGATGTTAGACAATAAACTGATGTGGGCAGTGGAAATTTTCTTTGAAGCGCTACACAATACATTGGTGCAATGTATATTAAAACGGTAATAAATGACAGAGGACAGATATGAAAAAGATAGATAAGGGAACAGACAGGAAGCAGATTTTGTTACATACCCGCTAGTAGGCAGACTGGGAGGAAGAATCGAAAGACAAGACCACACAACAGCTCATTTGCCATTCTTTGGCCGGTGGGTAGTTAGGTCACAGTAGGACAGACATCTTGAATACCTGGAAGGGTCACATCTCTTATCAGGTTTTGTGTCCAGGAGTCACTGGTAAAAGGTTACAGGGTTTCCATTAGGCAGGGATCGCAAGAGACTCACCTTGATATCCTTACTGGCCAGAGAAGAGCGAGGACTGAGAGGTCCTTAGAAGAGTGAGGGGAGGTGCCTGCAAGCTGAGGGAAGGAATCTATTGATCTTTATGCCCTCATATCCCTCTTCTCTCTGGACAATTCACACTGCCGCACCTAACCTGCCATCTCTGTTACAGACACACAGTGTACTCACACACAGGCAAGTCTGGCTCATCACCCAAGTGTAATAATATTTTTGCTTTATAAGATTTCAGGTAAATATTCTAAAGTTCTAGTCCAATCAAATACTGAAAATTAAAAGATTATTATTATTTTATTTTTTTACATGCTTCCTGGTGTTACTCCTTTGTAAGTAAAATAAAAATGTCCCCTTAAAGTTAACCTTTGCTTTTCCCACCAAGGGTAAAACAACAAGTTTCCACTGATTTAGCCCTCACCAGCAGCATATATTTCCCATCCTGTCTCTTCCCTATCACTCTGTTCAGCCACCAGAAGCTAAAGGAAAATCCTGTGCCTGCTATATGTTGCTGGAGCTTACATGAGGATATTAAGTCCCCATGTGATAGTGCTGATTGGCCCAGTGCTGTCACATGCTGCCGCTTACCTGGAAGTATGAAGTACTTTATTCGGCTTGCCATACGTTTGGAAAATATGGGGGTCACATCAAGTAAACAGATGTGATGCACATGCAATTTTTTTTTCTGTTTTCTTTCCCTTATTTTCAAAGCATGAAAGAGTTTCAGGGACTCTGGGGTTCCCAGGTGTTCCCCAAAAGACTTTCAAAGGATTTGGCAAAGCAAGCCTGCTAGCCCTAAGTAACATTACAGTAATGACATGCATACTTGAATATCTAAAACAGATACACATAAAAGGGGTCTATTTATAAACAATTCATTACATTACATGGGTCAAAATGTTGGCATTATAACCAATGTGAAATGTTCTCTCTCTTTCTCTCTTTCGGATCTCTCTTATATATATATATATATAATTTTTGCATTTTAAATGACTGAATGCTGGTGACTTATCTTCTATTATTCTGAAATTGAACATGGCATCATTTGTAGTTGTCATTACATCCATTAGCATCATTTTACATTTAAAGCAGCATTGCACAGTTCTATACTTGCTATAAAGACCCTTTTCATAAACTCTTTGTTTTCCTTTTATTCCTGCCATTACATATTGGTCTCAGTATGGCCTAGGCTACCAATCAGCAACTGCCACACTTGGATTACTATACCATTCCTGCAAATACTAATGAAGTCCCCTAGATAAAAAGAAAGCAAACATTTAGGCTGGGTTCACACCTAGGCGTATCAAATATGCGCGTTTGTTGCGCAATTTGCGGTATAAACAACCGCGCGTTTCCGAGGGCTACTTGGCTTTATCCCAATGGAAACACGAAACAAAAACGCCCCAAAGAAGCTCCTGTACTTCTTTGGGCGTAGGACGTTTTGTAGCGCGTTCATACGGCCTGTAATACGCCCAGGTGTGAACCATACCCATAAGAAATAATGGGATTTCGTGTGTTTGAGCGTTTTGCAGAGCGCAGGAACGCGCTACAAAACGCCCAGGTGTGAACCGGGCCTAAAACAAAATAAATATCAATTTTAAAAACGTAATAAATACATAAGATAATAAATTAAGAAGAAAAAAGCAAAAAAAAATGTATTCCTTTTCTAAAATCTATTCAGTAATAGATCTGAAATATTATTGTTTTGCGATTGGAGACTCTTCAAACATCAAGTGATCATATAAAATCCAAGCAGAATCAGGTATAAAAGTAATGCAACATTAATTTTGACCACTAGAGGGAGGAATGTGAAAGACCAGCAGTTACAGCAAAGATTAACCCACTGCACACTGCCTATGTTCTGATCTCTCTGTGTATCAGTCTTTAATTCCCCCTTTCACTACACTCAACCCCCCCCCCCCCCCCCCCCCCACACCACACCCCATCCTGATATGTCACAGGAGGCCAAGTGGGGCAGTGCGGGAGGAGAGCTCAATCTCCTGTGACATTGCCGCTCTCAGCTGCCCCCCACACCACCCTCCATCGTGATCTGTCACAGTAAGCCAAGCAGGGTGGTGCAGGTGGAGAGCTTGGCCTCCAGTGACACGCCAATCACAGTGCTCTCCGCCCTGCTTCCTGACTGTTTCCTCCTTGCAGGATGCTGTTCTGTGTCGGGGGAAACGGCAGTGCCCAGCAAGGGCGAGAGAAATTACCGATTTCAGATTTCCGGCCGCAATGGGATCGGCTGCACGTCCCCCCCCCCCCACCAAAAAAAAAACCTTTCACTTTAAAAAGTCATGGCAACTGCTACAGTACAGGACAGGTTTTTAGATCACATCAGACCATCAACAGGAGCTGGCAATGCTGGAGATAAAACTTTAAGAATGAGATCATTCAGGATTTAACTACAGCAAATTGTCATTTTGGTCACCAACCACTTTTATCGAGAAGGACTGATCACTCCTTATGGAAAATTCAGTCAAATCTGGTCAGTCAATCTTTTCTTCAATGTCTGGAACAATTGTTTTCCAGCTAAGGATTGTTTAAAATGATCAACTATATTGTTGCTCATTTTCAAATGGACGGTCAGCATTACACTGCGTTATATGCATTGTATTTTACAAAAATGCCAAGCAACTGACTATGGCAGGGGTTCATGGATCACAAGACTGGCTGAACAAAATTGAAACCCCTTTGGAAGGTATAACAGTTTGCATACGTTTATTTCCACTGAACAATTTAAAGACCAGGAGGTTAGAAACTGAAGTTGGCATCAAAGAGACACAGATTTCTCTGTTGTGGGCATCACTTTAGCCCTGAATCCCCAATGGGACATTCCTGGAATATGAAGATCGAATACATCGCAGGGTGATTTAATCCGAGATGATGTAATCAGTATGCATAGTGCGATTCCTTTAAGGCAGAGGTAGGCAAACTCTGACCCTTCAGCTGTGGTGAAACTACAAACCCCATTAGGCATCTGCCTCTGAGAGCCATACTTGTGGCTGTCAAGAGTCTTGCAAAGCCTAATGGGATTTGTAGTTGCACCGCAGCTGGAGGGTCTGCCTACCCTTGCTCTAAAGGATTTAATATCAGAAATATACTGAAAACTCCCCTAGGCCAGTGACACAGGTGGCTTAGCTGAAAAGCCAGGCTCAGCCTATCACTAGGATCCTACCAGGCCTGGACGGAACTCTCCAGCAAGGGCTCCGTGGGAGAATTGTGCCTCGTCCAACCAACGGCATTCAAACGATTCCTTTCACATTTTCGCCAGATAAGATCATTAGGAATCTGGTTGCTACAGACAACCCAGTGAATATTCTCCTCCTCCATCAGCACCAGAGAAATGATAAACACTTTCCAAACATAATCATGCATGATATCTTTACCTGGGATATTGTTGCAGCTTTTTAAAGCACAAAAAGGACACACGGAATCCAGGCACTCTTCCGCCCGTCTGCAAAGAAAATGGAAGACTAGGCTTAGCTGCAGCCTTAAGGGAGAGGAGGTACTCGGAATTCTGGCAATGCTCGCCCTGACCTCAAAATGCTTTTAAATAACCTTTAAATAATAAAGCATGGAGAGAATAATTAAGATGCACATGTGTGAAGGAACACCTCCAAGCGTTAGTTGCGACATACTCATTATTGAAGAAAACTACACGTCCTCTGAATAAAAAAAAAAGTAGAAGTCTTGCTAGAGTGGGGAAGAATTAGAACCTTTGCCAGGTTTTTATTTCTGTCTTTCATATATAAGAAACGATTACATTTAATGCTTAAAAGCCTAAATCCTAGGCAAAGTCTTCATTCATAAAAATCACTAAATCACTGAGCATAATTTGTATGACTTTTTTTTTTTCTTTTTACCTTTTTGCTATTCTCTTCATAAACATGCTACACATACCCGTTACAGCAAAGGCAAGGGCAAGGGGCCCTCTGATTTTATCCGTGCTCGGAGCCCTTTTTGATCTCAGGGTTTGTTTGCATTGGCATCTGTCTGCTTTTGAATTGTTTATTTTTTTCTTTCCTCATACAAGTAACATGTACATGCAAAAGCAGTTCAGAAACAACTTACGGCAAGTACAATGAAACATCTACCTGGAAACTTTTAAAATCCGGCCTCTACATAGTTTCACTACTTTAAAGATAACATTTTGCTAAGTGCAACAATGATGACTTCATTTCTTGAAAACTTGCTGTTAAACACTTAAGTTAAAGTAGTTGGCATTTTTACTTGGTTCATTTCTGGGATCTGCAAAAGCCAACCGAGTGGATGAAGTAGAATCTGGAAAAATATATCTTCTATCTGTTGTTGAGAAGCCCTGCAATGCAATTACTGTTTATCCTGGTCTGTCTGCATTCTTGGGCACTCCCACCTTCAAATATTGAGTAAAACATGCTAGCGGGTATAAGATTTAATATTTTGATATACAGCATCGGAAAAAGCTTTAATTGAACATTCCTTCCTTGGCTCCAGATGTCTGTATAGCTGTAATAACAGACCTTGGATAAATGTAATCAGCAGAACAA